TCACAAAGGTCGACGTACGATCAGGATATAACAATATCCTCATTCATCCCGACGACAGGTGGAAAGCCGCGTTCTCCACCTCATACGGGCTCTTCGAGCCCAAGGTAATGTTTTTCGGATTGTGCAATTCACCTGCCACCTTCCAAGCTTACATGAACCAGACATTTTCAGAAGAACTGAACGAAGGATGGTTAATCGTCTATATGGACGACATCCTGATCTTTTCTGATAACCTGGACGAACACCGGCAAAGGACCCGCCGAGTGTTGGAGAAACTCCGCAAAGAGTCTCTCTTCCTCAAACCCGAGAAATGTACTTTCGACTCTCAAGAAGTCGAGTACCTCGGTATGATCATTCGACCTGGACAGGTCGCTATGGACACTGCCAAGCTGAAAGGCATCAGCGAATGGCAACAACCCTCTTCGGTCAAGGACGTGCGGTCCTTTCTTGGATTCTGCAACTTCTACCGTCATTTCATTCCCCACTACTCCGACATCGCACGCCCTCTCCTCGATCTAACCAAGAAGGAGATCCCCTTCTCTTGGTCCGATTCTACCGAGGCTTCATTCCAGCATCTGAAGAAGCTTTTCACCACCGAACCGGTTCTGCGGAACCCCAACTCCTCGCGACAGTTTGCACTTGCAACTGACGCCTCGCTCTTCGCGACCGGAGCAGTCTTGCTCCAGACGGATAGCAATGGGGATTACCACCCCTGCGGCTACCTCTCCCAGTCCCTCAACGCGGCCGAACGGAACTACGAGATCTACGACCGAGAACTCCTTGCCATCATCCGAGCCCTTCAGGCTTGGAGGCACTTCCTCGAAGGAAACCCTCACCCAGTCATTGTCTTCACGGATCACAAGAACCTGATCTATTTCCGCTCCGCGCAACGACTCACCCGACGACAGGCCCGGTGGCACCTCACGCTCACCAACTTTGATCTGGAACTTCACCATGTTCCTGGAACAAAGCTCGCTGCACCGGATGCCTTGTCCCGCCGTCCGGACCACGCTATAGCTGGTCAGGATAACGAGGATCGTATCCTCCTCCCCGACACCCTGTTCACCCGTCTAATCGACGCTGAACTCGCAGACGAGTTTCAACGACTCTCTGACGACCCCTCCGACCAGACTGTGAAAACAGCCTTGGACGCCCTTTCCGGGGTGTGCGCACCCCCCATGAAGTCTGCACTTTCCGATTGGAGGTTCACCGATGGTGTTCTCTTCTATAAGGATCGTGCCTACGTTCCCCCCGACCTCCGGCATCGCGTGTTGTCTCTACATCACGATCACCCAACCGCCGGGCACCCCGGGCGTTCCGGTACCGAATGGAACGTCAAGAAATCCTACTGGTGGCCCGGAATGGGCTCCTTCATTAGGAAATACGTCGATGGCTGCGCCATGTGCCAGCAGATGAAGGTTAACACCCACCCCACGACACCTCCCCTCACCCCGATACCCTCCTCGGCCCTCCGGCCCTTCGCTCAGGTCTCGGTTGATTTAATCACCGACCTCCCCGAGAGCGCCGGCTACGATTCTGTCATGGTCGTGGTAGACCATGGGCTTACGAAGGGGGTAATTCTCTGCCCTTGCAGAAAAACCATCACAGCGGAAGGAGTAGCCGAACTTTTCTTCAAGAAAGTGTTCATGCGCTTCGGACTCTATGACAAGATCATCTCGGACCGAGGCCCCCAATTCGCCTCGAAGCTAGCAAAGGAGCTAGGACGACTCCTCGACTACCAAGTCGCACTTTCCACTGCCTATCACCCTCAGACAGATGGCCAGACCGAACGGCTCAACCAAGAGCTCGAAACCTACCTCCGGATCTACTGCCGGACGACTCCCTCCGAATGGGCAAAGCACTTGCCTATGGCCGAATTTGTTCATAACTCCCGACGACACTCTGCCAGAAATGCCTCTCCCTTCTATCTCATGATGGGCTACGAACCACGAGGCATCCCCCATCTCTTCCCCGACTCTACCCTACCAACCGCCGAAGACCGAGTCAAATCACTCGCCAAGATCCGCGAAGAAGCCCTTGCATGCCACAGCCTCGCGCAGCAACGCATGGCTGATCGTTCCTATGGCCAGCGTTACAAGCCATGGAACGTTGGTGATAAGGTATGGCTATCCGCCACGAACCTGATCACCGGATTCCCTTCTAGGAAACTCGCCCCGAAACGATATGGACCCTTCCCAATCCAGAAGGTCCTCTCCCCCATCACGTTCCAGCTCAAGCTGCCTGCCAGCTGGCGTATCCACCCCACGTTCCATGCCTCGGAACTTTCCTCCTATCAGGAGACAGACGTGCATGGACCGAATTTCACCGAACCTCCTCCTGATCTTATCGATGGAGAGGAACACTACGAAGTGGAAGCTATCCTCCAACACAAGGGTACCGGATCGCGTCGCCGGTACCTCGTGTCTTGGGTTGGCTATCCTGCCTCCGAACGAACATGGCTCCCCAAAACAGAATTGAAGTCCGCAGCGGAGCTCCTGAAGGCGTATAAGAAGCGACTCAAGATCGCTTCAATCGCCATCTCATGTTGATCAACAACCGCCACCGCAACTTCTCCTATCGCCCTCACTACACTAGGGCTGACCCCACCAGCGAACCCATCCACACCGACACCAAAGCCTTCCATCGCCAACGAATCCGCAATCGCCACCGCCCCACGAAATCCACACCCGTCGACAAACAGAGACCCACTACCCAATACCCCACCTACGCCACTACCCAAGGAAAGACGCTCCACTATGTCGGCCTCAGTGTCGTCTGTTTCCTCGCACCGATCCGCTACCTCTCATGCGTCTGCCTCCGACCCCGACCCGACGAGCCAGCCAACGCATGGCCATGATAGGCCCTCCTACACCGTCTTCCGACGGCCATCCCTTCGCTCAGTTGTCCAAGACAGGCAACGGGCCTACTGGGAAGCAGTCATCTGCGATCCCCAGTATGCGATTCGACTCGACAACTATCTCAACCGCACCAACGACGAGATAACCATGAACCTCGTCCAGGCCTTCAGGGCCACCGACGCCCTCACCGGCGATATCGCCAGGATCGACCTGGCTAGGGAAACTTCCCTATCCACTGTCTCGACCAGATACAACCAAGGCAAGATCAAACGAGCCTTGCTAAATCTGTTTGAACTTAGGAACTTCCATGCTGCCGTCATGGCCGTCGAGGAGGAGCGGGCATTTAATCCCCCTCCCGACCCGCTTGCAGTCGTCGAGCGTGCTGTCTATGACAGAGCTCCGACCCCCTTCCTTCCCCAACTACCTCGCTCTGAATCACCAGAGCAGATCCCCAACGTCACCCAGTTGACCAACCCCGAGATCGACCGTCTCTATAACGAATACGAACGCGAGCTCTACGCTCCACGTAACCCCTCCCCCATCCTCGATGCCGACACCATCTCTATCATCATCCCAGAGCTGGATGAATGCCCTCCCGCATCACCCGTTCTCAACCCCGACGATTGGGTACCCACCGAGACGGTCCCACACCTCTCTATTGGTTCTCCGGAACCCCTTCCCACTCCGCAACGCCGAAATCACCGTGCTCGTGCACGATCCATCCTGTCCCTAGGACTACCCCTCTCCCATGCGCATCGACCGCGCACCCAGAACTTCACTGGGCACTATCCTCGCGAGGAAGCCCAGGAAGACGCCATCAACGACGCGCGTCGTGATGCCACCGAGACCACCCAGGTCTACCGCAGCAACGTTGTCTGCCGCCAGTGCCGTGTCTACGGACACAAACAGAAACACTGCGCGCAATACTTCTGCCGCATTTGTGGGCAATTTGCCCCAAAACATCTCACTCCTTTCTGCCCTCGACTTGACGGCAGGAAGATCCTTCGTCGTGGAACCTCTTCCGACCGGTTCTACAGGGACATGCAGCAGCTCGAAGCTGCGTATGACCAAGACGCTGCTCGCCTTGAGCAAGAACGCGAAGAGAATGCAATCGAAGCCGCCTCCTGGCTCGAAGACCTCGACTTCGACCCCGCATGGTATAACAACCAGGACGACTACGTTCCTTTGGACGACGATTAAAGAGTTCGTGGAACTCTACCTTGAAACGGGGGTAATGTTACAAGTAACATCGGCTACATGGCCCCCCTATCATTTTTCCCCTTCGTCCTCGCCCTCGTATGCCTCCGGCTCGCACTTCTCTACCGACTATCCGTTGACCGGATCCTCGGGACCGTTCCCGTCCCTCATCCCCCTCTCATCGCACCAACGTGCGCACGTGCCTTCGGGCTATGACTCGTTCTGACTCGTGCCACCAATGTGGCTTTCCTTATCTTGTCTTATCTTTCCTTTGACTCGTGCATAATGCACATTGTATCATTTACCGTTGGCTCGTTCCAACGTTTCTCGGTCTCATTCCGCATTCGACCTTACATCACTAATCAGGCTCTGCCACCATCGTACCTATACCCTTTCCGTTTCCCCTTTGCCCTTACCTACAGTACGGTAGCCTTGCCCTTAACCCTTTCCACTTAGTATAAGTAGTCGGTCACTCTGTACTAGATTCCCTAACTTGAATCTACTCAATCTTCCCTCGAACATACTTCCCTCTGAAGCCCCCTCAGCTTCAGTCTCTAGTATCTTTTCTTAGGTGCTCATCGCGCTTAAGTCCACCTCGATCGACTACTCATCGTTCGGACAAGACTGTCCTTACTTTGAGATCGTCAGTGACTTTGAAGACATCCGTCTTAGAAGTCACGTGACACGCGCGTCTCTGATATCTGCCGACTCGACGTCGCCAGTCTCAGTCGCTACACCGGACCCTTCCGGTTACGTCACGAACGTTAGCGGACGACGCCCCTCTTAGGGCTCCGCATAACAGATCTATTTGAGTGCGTAACACAATCCATTCTGATGCTGCCAGCTAAAAAGTGTGCTCTGTGTGGATGGAGCGTTGATGCGTAGATGCGCCTCCAGTTCCTGCTGGGGATCAACCTCCCCAGTTTGAGGAGCGAAATATAAGTCTTATCCCGAAGGCGACATCTTCGAACGAGGTAGTCGAATTATGGTGACCTTCAAACTGTGGCAGTCTTCGGTGAAACACACGTCTGAGACTGTGGTGTACAGTGATGGATCAAAGGCGCTCAAGGATCGTACGGTTAATTCGCCTAGACGTGCAAGTGTGAAGAAGGATGTTACTAAGCATGCGTATACAGCAACATCAAGAGGAACTGTGAGATCCAGCGCCGAGCGCAGTCTGAGGATGATCGCGAGTGTAAAAGGGTGGCATTTGGGACGTTTGGAGTGAGGAGGAGCTAAACATGAGGCACCTTCTAGAGCAGACATTATCTCTTCAGAACCCCCCAACCAAGCAAGTCCGTGTAGGACATGCCATGCTCTTACCCCATACAAATAATTCTCCAACGTTTTCCCAGAATACATCCCCATGCACGTCGCGATGAAACTTAACAGTAATAGCGAAGACACCAGCCCCCGTTGATTCTCAGGTACTCCTCTAGCATCACAGAATACGTGATATACTAACAGTCCGGATCCATAGGCTTCTCTTGTGCCTGAGGCGAGCGAATGACCGACGACTGTGAGAATACAATTGAGATCGTCGTCAAACAGAGGTAATGCCTCTCCCATGTGATCACGGGCCACGCGACTCTGAGACGGACACCAGAGACGCAAACGGTCTCGCGCCAGACAGTGTGGATGCAGCGATGATGGCAGAGGTGTGAGAAGTGGGGTATAGGGACGTGGCCGAGTGCTAGGTTGATCAAGCAATGGTAAGGTATGAGCCGTGATGAACCTGGAGCAACTAATCACGCCAGGCGTCTCAGAACTTCCACAACTCTGCTCCATAGTCCCAGCTTGTTGGCCCGTCAACCAATGGGTAAGAAGATGAGTCCCATTGATGATGGGCGTTACTGGAGTGGGTTCGTGATTCAATGAGGTTGGGCAAGCTGTCTTGGATGAACCAGGAGAGTTCATGAGGAATCTCAATGGGGGGAAGGAGGAGGTTAACTGAGTGAAAATTTCCTCGAGAGGGAGCATCCGCTGGATTGTTGCAACTGGGTATGTAGGAGAGGTGGAATGAAGTGCCCGGGCTGAGCGGCTCGAGTAAATTGAGGATTTGTCGAAAGATGACATTTGTAGCCCAGTTCCGGCTTTGACCATTCTTCCAACCCTCAACAACTCCAAGGTTGTCGCAGTGCACCCTAAAATGCTGACCTGCGGGGTCAATACCGAGCCTGATAATGCAACGTATGAGCAACTCAAATCCAACTGCTTCTGCCCACCCAATATCTTTCGCTCCGTCGAGAGTATGCCATCCTGGTAACAATGTCCATGCCCTCCAATGCCCATGGATAATAACTGCGACTCCGACGCCAGAGCTGGCATCGGAGTAGGCGTGGGCGTCGATGATGTGAAATGGTTGAGGGATGGGCCGGTGGAGTGTTGCATTGGAGAGTTGCTCAGCCCACCAGGAGAGATCATTGATGAGATGCCACACAGAGTGATGTGGCACAAAAGGACTTGCACTGGAGATGCTGAGCATGGACTCCATGGAGGTAAGGTAGGCTCGACCATGTGGTACCATGAGACAGGCGTGAAGCAATTTGCCGTAGAGACGTTGTACTTCCAACAGCACATGAGTCAGCTGTCCCAGCCAAGTCGCAATAGCCGCAAGATACTTCGACCTTTTGGCGTCTGCCAATGCAATGGTAAGGTGAAGAAGGTTCCAGAGAAGGCCGATGAAGATGGTAACATGCGCGAAGGGCGTGTCTTTCGCAGGTTCCCAGGGAATTCCCATGTCCACCGAGTTCCTGTCAATGTCACTGAAGTCACAAGTGAAACGAGTGTCATCTTGAGAATGAGGTAAAATATGTGAGAAATCTGATATTGGAAATCGGCAATCCTCCCCGAACACTTCCAAAGTACCATCTTCAAAAGAGGAACCTTTGAACCAGAGTTTACCACCCGTCCGATGAAAAGTACTAGGAGATAAAGTAATATGTAAACTTTGCCGATACAAATTGTAACTAGCAAGATGTTGCCACTCAATACGAAAAAGAGGTGATCATCCACCCATTTTGTGAGTGGACCCAACCCAGCAGCACGCAGAAGATCAGCTCCAGCGTCAGCCACGTATCCATATGCTCCAGCCGAGGGACCCATGCCGAACGATGTGCAGGTATCCACACAGTATTCATCCTCGTTGATGCGCATGACCGTGGCAGGCCATTGAGAAGGTAACAAGGGAATTGTCCGATACACTTCTGCCACGTCTCTCGTCACCGCTTGAGAACCAGGTGGCAGATGACGAATAATGGAACAAACCGTGTCAAACGTGCCCCAAGTGCACAAGAAGTCGTCAGAGTCCACGCAGGAATTGATGGAAGGGGAAGGGTTTGACGGAGAGCATAGATAAGGAAATGAGAAGTTTTGGATAACGTGAAACTTGCTGGGTTTCCCACTTTTTGGTATGATAGAAACGGGGGATGTTTGAAATGCGCCCAGGAGGTCAAGCAGTTGAGAATGATGGAAAGGTCCAATGTAGCGACTGGTCTCCAGTTCTCGTTCAATGATGCGATTGAATGCGCCACGATGCTGGGAGAGTGAAGGGTGATTCGGAGGAGTCTGCGAGACAATGAGACGAGGCAAGTGCAGGTCAAAACCAAGACGAAAACCAGCAGGAAGTTTTTCATAGCGAGAAAGGAGTTCATGTTTTTGGAGCAGGTGCTCCCAAACGTCCAACTGCCCCATGGCAAAGGTTTCTAAATGAAACTATTGCCTGAAGACAACATTTTTGAAGAAGGATGATTTGGGGAGAGGAAGGCAAAATGGTTAGCGGAACAGCCCAATGGACTGAGATGGCTGAGCCCTTACCTTGCCCTCCGTCCTCTGAATTCAAGAACAAGGCAGCTCTTGACACCATCACTATCTTCTTAGATAGATGATCTATAGATAAACACCTATAAAACAAATATCTCCACGGTCAGCGATTCAGACAAATACCAATGACTGATAACGTGGTCATTCGTGGGTGGCTAGTTGTATACTACCCAAGGTATGTTCAGCTAAGGATACTTCTGCAGGATCAGTAATACGATGGTCAATCCAATCTATGGACTTTGACAGAAAAACAAACAAACAATGGTCAGCCCGACAGTATGGCAATGACCAAAAGAATATACGGGATTCTTCCTCAAGTTCCCTTTCAACAACAGTGCTTCGTACCAACTATACTCCAAAGAAATGGTGCAGAATTACAATGATAAACCCCCTCAGCACAAAACAGGTAGAATCAAAGGTCAAGACTAATCAAATGCTTTATTGTAGAACTCTTAGCTCAATATTGAACCTGCTGTCAAGGAACTCTTCTTTGAGTATTCAAACAGACTCAGGAATGGACGTCCTTGGGTTTACTACCAAGTCCCCTCTTCAACGGCTAAAGCCTAGCAGGCACAGAATATCTTGGCTCAGTATCACTACTCAGATGAGTGAGGTCAAGCTTCACTATCAATTCCTAAAGTCTCCCCACTATACTACTTCTGAGTCTTAGGTGGATGTAGAGACAACACAAATATTTTGGAAATATATTTCTGGACAAAGACCACCAAAGATTGGTGAAAGCAAAAGAAAAGAAAAAGAATAATAGAAATCAGAATATAACTGTGGCTGTACCTTGCTTGCTGGTTGTTGCACACAGTGAGCTCACAGCTGATCGTTCAGTATGATGAGCTTGCAGTATTACTGTCTCTTGAGAATGTTCCTCTTAGTCTTAAGACAGTTCTTGACACTGGTACTGACACTTATCACACCTTACTCACAACTTAGTGTTGGATGGGCTGAAAACACCCTACTATCTGCTGCTGTTCGCTTATTATTATTTCAAAAACTGGGGTCATTATATACACAATAAATGTGGCTGTGCTACTAGTGTATTCAAGAGTCATCAAGAGTCATAATGAGTCATATGTGCAAGGTGAGTCATAGTGAGTCATAGTAAGTATCTAGAGTGAGTCATAGTGAGTCATATATTCAGAGGGAGTCATAGTGAGTCATTGGGTATTTTGCTAAGTCATGTGACCTGTCCAACCCCTGATGACAAATCCAGAAGGAGAGTAAGAAGTGTCACATGACATGAATCCTGTGTGTGGCTGTCTTTGCTTTGCTTTGTTTGAAGGGTGAGAATGATGCGAGCCTAGTATTTAGGGGTTTACTAATGTTTTTCCAGGACAACATATGTGGGAAATATTTTTCACAGTCACCTGACATGTGTGGGATTTTGTCTGAGTCATCATCATGGCTGACTAAGCAAAACTCATCGCAGAATTAAATGTACTAAAATATTCAGGCTGCTGGTATACAGACTTGGAAAATAAAAAGAAAAGCAAAAAATATTCCTTTAGCCTCAGTCCAACTTCAGATAAAAGGGAAAATGGTTTCATAGTGGTATTTCAGGGTATATGACTCATGAGAGAGTATTGGTCGTCCATGCACCGAACCGGTTTGGTGCAGGTCATTGCTAATCACCCTCATCTCTTTCGTGTATCAACTCCTATTAATGTCAATCATTTTGAAACACTCTTAACTATTGTGAATCATCCAAATCCGCCCGTCATTCGTTCGGTCTGTCAAGGTCTACACGAAGGATTCTGGCCCTGGGCTGACACTCATGTCGGCGTCTATCCTACCACCTGGAACATTCCTTCTCCAGTACCATCTACGGATGCCGAATGTAAGTTCCTCCAAGACCAGATCTTGAAAGAGGAGTCCATTGGAAGATATTCACTGAGTTTTGGTCCAGACTTACTTCTGAGAATGTACAGCATGTCGATACATGCAGTTCCGAAAGAAGGCGGGAAGTTTCATCTGGTTACCAATCATAGCGCCAGTGAATTTTCTTTGAATTCTATGATAGCTAAGGAAGATATTGCTGGAGTCACTCTTGACAACATTCAAGATTTAGGAGATGCTATTCACAAGTACCAACGAACTCATCCCAATGATCGACTTCATATCTGGAAAGCAGATGTATCCAAGGCTTATCATCATATGCCAATGCATCCTCTCTGGCAAATCAAACAAGTAGTCTCCTTTGAAGGAGAACATCGTGTTGATCACACGAATGTCTTCAGAGGACGTGCCTCCCAACGAATCTTTCATGCTTTCATGTCGCTCGTAATATGGTTAGCTGTTTTTGTTCGACTCATCAATCCTTTATCTATGTCGACAATTCCTTCTCATTTGCTAAAATCAATGACATGATGTTCTACATCAAATATCAGAAAATGCTACCTATGGACATGGTCACTCTGCTTCTTCTCTGGGATGAGCTAGGCATCCCACATGAGGAGCGGAAACAAGTCTTCGGCACTCCGCTGCTGGTAATTGGATTTGGAAGTTGATCCCAACCTGATCAAGATTTCATTAAAGGAGGAGTCTAAGAAGGGATTAGTTCAGGAGCTTCGTGACTTTGCGAAGTATAAGAAAAAGAGGTCGCTAAGAGATTTCGAGCATATCGCTGGGTTGCTTAACTGGGCTTTAAATGTATGCCCACTCCTTTGTCCTGGCCTTTCGGCAGTATATGCCAAGGTCTGAGGGAAAAGTAATTCTAAAGGTATGCTCTGGCTTAACTGAAGTGTTGTTGATGAATTGCTTTGGGCGGCTTTCCATCTTGACTGCTCTGATGGAGTATATCTCCTGAAATCTGTATCTTGGCGATTCCAACCTCTTTCTCTGGACGTCCTTCAAGTCTATTGCGATGCTTCTGGATTGGGGTCCTGGTACCCTTCCTTGAATCTCAGATTTCAGTCTAGCCTTCCTCCCAAAGCTCCTGTACATGACATCTTCTTCTTTGAAGCTCTCTGTGTGAGCTCAGCAATTCATGACACTGTTACACACTCCCACAAGATGGTCAACTGGCAGTCTAGACTGACAGTCTTAATTCCATCTATCTATTTAACTCTCTATCAGGCGGTCCAGGATTTAATCATCTTCTCATGGATATGGTAGAAATCATTCTCGCCTTTCATGTTGACTTTTGAGTCTTTCATATCTCAGGCAATGAGAATGTCATCGCAGATCACCTTTCTCGTTGGCAGGCAGCTGATGCCATTTGAGTCTCACCTGGTTTATGAATCTTCCCTTTTCAACCACCTCGGGATGCACTGGGGGTAATGAAAAAATGATTCATACATGGGTGGAGGCCAGGCAACCACTTTGTGATGCCTGGCCAATGGAACATCTCATTTACAAGTGTTCTGTTAATCTAGGTCTAGGTCTCAACAGATTGACAAATCAGACATACTCTTCAGCACTCAATTCATATGTCACATTTTGTGACTTACATCATCTCGCTCTCAACTCAACTGTTGACACACTCTCCCTGTTCATTACATTCATGGCAGCTCATATCAACCCTCATTCAGTGGATAACTACCTATCTGGAATCTGCAGCCTTCTAGAAGAATTTTATCCTCATGTGCGGGAAAACAGGTGTTCACATCTTGTTGCTCATATGTTGCGAGGTGCAAAGTGATGTTATGGAGTATCTGTTCGACGAAAGCTTCCATTATTACAGACAAACTTAGAAACTGTCATAGCATTGAGGCCTAGACCTCATAGTCACGATGACCTACTGTTCCTTGTGCAGCCTTTTGACAGCTTCTATGGTCTTCTTCATCTGGGAGAACTAGTATGGCCGGACAACAATTCATTACAAACCTTCAGTAAACTAACTTTATGCACTTCAGTGGTCGTGTGCAACATGTACCACTCATTCCTCCTTCCACAGCACAAGTCTGATGTCCAATTTGAAGGAAATACTATTGTCATTCAACATGCTGAGTCTGCTGATCCCCAAAACACCTTCCTCTCATACATTGCGTCTCGTGACACTTTGTTTCCGTTTCATAGCTTCCTGTAGGTGCATAGTGATGGATCTATTCCTACTCGTGCGTGGTTCATGGGACGTCTACAAGCTATATTTCCCAATTCTATATCGGGACACTCCTTATGGATGGGTGAAGCTACTTCACTTGCAGCATCTGGAGTCTCAGCAGATCAGATACAAGCTATGGGTCATTGGTCAACTGATTTGTTTTGAATTTATATATGAAAAAATCCAGTGCTTCTTCATGCTCTTGTATTCAATGGCTGGTCTATTCATGATCCTTTGGTTCCCTTTGCTTTAATCTAACTATATCGTATTGTGGCCCTTTCTATTTCTTTACAAAAGTCATACTAATATAATATTTCTCCTACCTTTATCTCGACCCTCCTTCCCTCCCTTTATAGCTAGAATTATAGTGTTGTACATTAGGTACAGTCTCGAGTTTGGATTTGTTTGTATCCAAATTCATGGGGGCCCCTTGTTCTCGCAATGGGGTCCTCATTTTCTGGCTATATCCTCATCGTCTGTGTCCCCACAAGACTTGAGCGAGGACAATTAGTCAAGTTTAACTTTATTTACACCAGGGTAATTTGGACAAGTGTGCTCATTAGCAGCCTCATCCTTTGGGTCCTCCCAAACCCTGAACTCAGGGCCTGTCCCTTTGCCTCCTTTGGCTGATGCCTGGTGTAAAGAGTTGATTCCTGGTGGGCTATATAAAAGGTGTTACCTTAAGACTCAAAGTGTGAGTGAGATGTTCATCCCAAAGAGACTGCCTGTAGGATTATCTCTTGATATAAAATGCAAGGGATATCTTGTTAAGATTGAAGGAGAGAGAAGGAAAAGATACTCAAGTACGTTCAGAGTTCCGAAGAATTGTCTGAAGTGTCCGATGAGTTGTCTGAAGCGTCTGGTTGGGGTCTGACATCAAGAAATGAAGGTCCGAGGTTGCATGAAGCTTCCGGTGAGCTTCCAATGAAACAGTAAGGTTTTTGGTATAGAATATGGCAATTTGTTGAAGTATAGAACTTTGTGTAGTATAACTAGCGAAGTCCATTGAAAGACTTAAGGAATTCAATAGCAAAATGGCAGCGGTCAGGCCAAACAATTGTTCCAAATGAACAAAGATCAATTGCATGAAGTACTAAAATCCGAAAGTGACTCTACTAACTATGACTTGTAGCCAGAGAAGTGAAGTGCCTTGCAAGTATTTAGCAAGCCAGATTATATCCTACTGCATGAAAGTCCAGAATCTGCATAGGCGAAAACTGTAGCGAGATAAGACATCCGAATGTAATAAGACTCAAGGCGAGCTGCTATGAAGATATACATGTAATAATGCATGAGGTGCATATCTATACATATTAGCAAAGGTTTTCAATGTATGTGCCCCTAGACATAATCAATAACAGATAACAAAGTGAAAAACGCACCAGCAAAGTCAAACAGACAAGGACAGGACATGGTACGGAGGACCAGAAAAGCTAAAAAGGCCTTGGAAATGGATGGATAACTTGAACAAGCACGCAGAACTTTCAGAAGATCGGAAGTGTGTCGAGGAATGTAAGATGTCATTTTGACTGGATATGTGCCCAGTGCTGACCTGTGTGTTACACTGGCACATCACTTGGCATGGCTAATATGCCTTGCACAATCCTCATTGCCACCTCCTTTAGTGGAGCCAGTGGCCTACATCAGCAAACTAAAATGGTCTGTACAGAGCTGTACAGTATCCCAGCTCCCTAGCTTGGTCCCTACTACCTAGCTTGCCACAGTGGCAGAATTTTCTGTCAATCTCTGTACAGATGCCCACAGACATGCCCAGTGAGCATCAAATGACTCTCAAATAGTCCTGGTTTCCTCTGTCCATGTCTGTACAGACCCTCACAGATCACTCAAGGAACAGAAATTGTGCAGACAATGCTCCCTGTACACCTTACTTGAGCTTACTATTCACTCTGTACAATAAATAGCCGCAGATAATATATATTGATTCTTGAATGCAAAAACACGAAAGCGCATAATACTAGTAGCGGATGCAACAGATCAAGAGAAATGGTGTGGAGTACAACTAAGAGTGGCGGAGAGCTGCAATTCAGGCACAGAATACAAAGAGTTAGTCTAGGATGACCTAGAGATCATTGTGTTTCGTCTTTGCTGCGCCACTGTCAAGCTTGATATTTTCAGCCCTGTATGAATGAAATCAATTTAAAGTTTTCGGGACAAAAATAACTCACCATTCAGCTTCTGCCCATTCTCGAAGTTGTGCTAACAATCTAGGGCCATGATAGTCGTCCTTGAGAGTGTCTTTGATAATTTGGATCAATTTGTGGTAGATGGGAGAGTATTCCTTCGAGGAAAAATTAGGATAACATTTACTGTTCCTGTTCTTCTTGAAACCATCAAAAACGCAGTGGAACTGTAGAGGAAAAATCAACACATGAGCACAACATCAGGGAGAGAACACATTACCACTGTGGCAACTAAAGCCAAACACAATATGGGTAATTGTGTGCAGAACTTCTCTGGTTGCCTCCATGAAATCTGGTAAGGCCCTGTGTAAAAAAAAGGCTATGCAGGTATCATGGAGGGCAGGATGGGCCAAATTCCTTGTTTTCCCCTGTCAATTTTGTTGTGAGTGAGGTTGCGATTAGTACAAGGTCACTTACATTTTGGTCTGTTCTGAACCATAAAAATGAACCACCCTTGAGTAAATCTTTAGTGGCCCTTTCGACCCAAGTTGCATGTTGTTGAGGAGGAACGGAAGGTGGAGGCAAAAGTGAGTAGGATAATGGTGCAATGCTTATTGCAGTTTTCTTTAGATCTGATCGCCAAGTCAACAGGTCGTTGTACAACTTCAGTACAAACACATCAGCGAGGCATCAGCATAAACGTAAATAATCCACATACCAACCATGTCATATTGTACTGCTGCTCCGGCCAAACCCCTGCACCAAGGTATGAAATGGATTAATTCGGCAAAAAAAAGAGCACATACCAGCCTCAAATTGTCTACCACTCTTGTCCCATGTGACCAAAACTGAAACTAGAACCTCAGAGATGGTTCTCAGCATCCCCTTGACTAAAGGTGGGAAAGGGTTTTCCAGGGCATGCTGAGCATGACACTCTCCTTTAACCTCCTCCAGGAAAATTTTCAGCGTGGCCCATACCAAGCCAGTTGGTCAGGCCTCGGCCCACTTTCAGATCCCTTGGATTTCTTGGTTCTCGACCAACTCCGCCACTTGATTCAGCAACTGGAGTGATTCAGGGTCAGGAAGGTGGGGCTGACTGTTTTTATTGTGATGGCACTTCAATACATCATCAGGGAAGTTCGAGGTAGTAGTCTACAAGAAAGAACCATGAGTTTGATCTAAAACAAATTTGCACCCTCACCTTAGGGCTCAATTGTTCCCTCTGTACTCCTGGCAAGGTGCCAAGAGACTGAGAAGGCGAGAAACTGGGAGCGTGATCAAATAAATAATGAAAGTCATACCTGGTTGGTGTTGTTGAGATGCATCTGGGAAGTGTCGTCATCTTCATCGCATGAGTATTGGAATTTGAACTCTGGCATGAGAGGGCGAGCAATTTGAGCCTGAGTGGGTAGTTCTTCAGCTGAAAATCCTATAGATATAAGACTCAGTCAGTGAAAGTACTTTGGACATGAAATTCTTACCTGGGTGTTCTTTGTGCCATCGATGAGCCTCCCCCCAACCAAACTGCTGTGACTCATTATTATCTCCTTCGTCTCTGTCTTCTTCATCTTCTGCATCATCAATGTCATCAATGTCAGTAGCGCTACTGCCGGATTCACTATCCTCCAGGTCAGATCCTACCAGTCTTGCACAAAGTGTTTGGCTAATGCCATCCTCCTTGCATAGGGCTGGGTCCAGGTTGTGCTCTGACAAGGTAGCAGTAAGTGGATGTTGGGAACTCTGAGCATAATCAATAAGAGCATTCATATTGCGTTTTTTGGTAACCTTCATTCCCATAGCGAGGTATGAGTCGTTAGAGGCTTGAGGACTGGGCTCCACACCAGGAGGAACAATGGGTGTGGTGGTCGAAGCTGCAAATCCGAACCTCCCACCGCCTTTCTGCGATGAAAAGCTGGGAACTAGAGTACTGACATCGAGGTTCATGGACTCAGGACTGTATGGTGGAGGCTGCACCTAAATGTGCAATTAGCACTATCCATAACAAAAGTAGTGTTATACCTTTGGACAACTCTTCTGGCCTCTACGAGGTGGTTCTGGAGCCTGAGGATTCATGGGGTTGAGTGTGCTAAGAGATGTAGCACCCTTAGGTTTCCGATTCCGGGACTGAGACTCTAAAGTTACCCCGATTTTCTCCAGCTGGGTGTTCCTACCCCCTTGTCACAACCCCTTAAACGAATTAACGCAGGGCAGAGACTAGGACTCAAACAACAAGATAATCACAAAGAGGATAAGGCAGCAGGTACGTCTTGGATTGCTCACTTGGAGATACAAGAGGTTTGAACTAAAGAACTACTGACTACGACGATCTACCTATATACACATATTGAAACTGAGATCGAAACTGAGTATGAACTAACTAACCAATCAGAATAATTAAAGGTATCGTACGATTCTATATATAACTATGATGTCATAACATGTGCCGCAGCCGCAGTAAGACTCTGGAACATTCCAAGAGTGTTGCGAGGCATGACGTCAACATCTTCGGCATTGTCCGATCGATCACGTGACTCTGGTAATTCTACAATAGACGCAATAATAGGAACTTCTTCAACAGTAAACATATTCTTAGGAACAGGCGCTGTGACTGGGCGCTTAAAGGACTTAGAATTAAGGAACGAATAATGGTTTGTATTTGGAACTCGTGACATTACCCCCTCTCTAGGATGAGCGTCATCGCGAATGAAACTAGGACGAATAAACTTCTTGCGCCATTCCAAAAACTCTTGGGTTTCGAACACCGATTTGTTAATTTTGCGGGGATTTAATGCCTTTGGATTTTGCCGGTGAAATTCTTGAACTTTCAACCGTGCATTCTCAAGATTTTCCTCAGGTTCCCATGTCGCTTCTTCTATCGGATATCCTTCCCACTCTACTAGGTATTGGAGTTTTGATCTGTGCAGTCTCAAGTCTAGGACTTTTCGTACTATCCATTCGGAATCGCCTTCTGATAAGATCTCTGGCGGCGGACGATGATGTGGAAGTCTTTGGACTAAGGTCGAGGGGAAATGCGGAGTGAGTAATTCTACGTGGAATACCGGATGAATCTGATATTTTGCTGGAAGGTTCAGGCGGTAATTTACATCACCCGTCTTCTCTAGCACTTCAAACGGACCAAGTCGTCGATCGGAGAGTTTCTTATTTGGTCTTTTTTGACGGATATTTTTGGCATTGAGCCAGACCAGATCTCCTTTCTTGAATTGTGGTGCGTCTTTTACTCCTCTATCGTAGAATCTCTTCATCCGCTCATTCGCCATTTGCAGCATACTTTCTGCGTCTTCCTTCGCCTCTTTCATTACATCCACTCGTTCATCAGCTGCAGGTACTTTAGAATTGGAAATTGGTGAAAAAGTAAACTCTGGATCGTATCCGTAGAGTACTTTGAATGGACTATGACCCGTTACAGTGACAGAGTTATTGTGAGCGAATTCTGCTATCGGAAGCCAGTCTACCCAATCGTTTTGGCGGTAAGACGTGAACATTCTCAGATATTGCTCTACTTCTTGGTTGATTCTCTCTGTTTGTCCGTCTGTCTGAGGATGATAAGCCGTTGACATGTTCCATTTTATGCCTAGGCGTTTCGACACTTGTCCCATAAACTTGGAGACGAATTGTGTTCCTCTGTCCGATATCACCTGTTTCGGAGTTCCATGGTGTTTCCATACGTTATCTAAGAAAAGTTTCGCGATTCCTCGAGCGTCAACTTCCTTTTTCGTAGGCATGATGTGCGTTTGTTTCGTGTATCGATCAACGACAACAAAAATAGAATCGAACCCTTCGCTTTTAGGCAAATCTACTATCAAATCACAAGTGATTGATTGCCAAGGTCCCGCTGGTATTTCATTTGGTTTAAGCAGACCATGTGGTTGCGTTGGGTGAATCTTCGTTGCTCTGCATCTATCACAGCCATCTACGTAATCGTGGACATACTTCGTCATTGAAGGCCACCAATAATTTCTGGAAATCAATTCTAAGGTTTTGGCACGTCCAGGGTGTCCAGCCGGTGGAGAGTCGTGAAACAACTCCAATATCTCTCGACGGATCTCCTTATCATTTGGAACGTAAACCAGTCCTCAGAATAACACCAATCCATCCTCCACATTCCACTCTTCGACTCCTCTACGCAATTGTACCGGTGCTGCTTTTAGTGTTTGTAGCGCTTTAGCGACTTCGGGCTCTCGTTCTGTGCATTGCCTTATCTTTCTCAGCAATTGTTTTTCTCCTTGCACTAGAACTTGACCTCTTTTAGCAGCTTTTACAGTAAAAAAACTCCGGTTTTAACAAAATACGATCAGAATTGTCGTTTTCTACCCCCCCTCTGTGGTCTTCTCTCCGAGAAAGCTTATCGGCCTTATCATTGACTACACCAGGCTTATGTTGGAGTGTAAATTCATACTCCACCAGGAACAGACTCCATCTGGCTTGCCTTCTTGTCAACTTTTGGCTCGTCATAAAGTACTCGAGATTCTTATGATCCGTCCAGATCTCCACATGATGAGGTTTTCCCTGCACATAGTGCCTCCACTCCTCCAACGCTCGAATGATTGCGAGTAACTCTTTGTCATGGATGTCATAATTTCTTTCTGCATCGTTCATTGATTTAGAGTAATACGCCACGGGGTGCCATAGGTCATCTTCCATCAGTTGAGATAGAACCGCTCCAGTTGCGTAATCAGAAGCATCGGTTTCTATTTTCATTTTCTTCTCAACGTCAGGCATTACTAGGATCGGAGCTGATGTAAACCTTGACTTCAGTTCATCAAAAGCATCTTGCTGTTTCTCCGTCCAATCCCATTTGACATCTTTCCGTAGTAAATCATTCATTGGTCTAGCGATGTCTGAGAACCCGAAGATAAATCTTCTGTAGAAGTTGGCGAAGCCCATAAATGCTTGTATATCTTTAACACATTTGGGTACAGGCCATTTCATTACTCCTTCTACTTTCACAGGGTCCATTCGAACACCACCCTTCTCCACTATCAACCCGAGGAACTCGACTTCTGTCTGTTCGAAGCTACACTTTTCAGGCTTCAGATACAGATCGTTCTCTTTTAGTCGTTTTAGTACCTCTCGTACAACTTTTCGGTGTTGCTCCCTATTGCCATTTGTGAACACGAGGATATCATCGATATAGACAACTACGGTCTTTCCATCAATTAAATCTCTGAATATCTCGTTCATCATGGTTTGAAACGTGGCAGGGGAGTTTGTTAAACCGAAGTACATCACGGTTGGTTCATGGTGACCAAACGGCGTTTTGAAGGCCGCCTTCCACTCATCTCCTTTTTTCATGCGAATATTATTGTACCCCCATCTTACATCCATCTTGGAGTACATCGTGGCACCGGTTAAAGCATCAATCAAATCTTGAGATCTCGGTAGCGGATATGCATTTTTAACTGTCTTCTCATTGAGCTTTCTATAGTCCATCACCGGTCTTAACTTGCCATCTTTTTTGGCCACAAAGAAGAAAGGTGCTGCTACTGGAGATTGTGAATCTCTAATACGTCCCAGTGCAGTTTCGGTTTTTAACCAATCTTTCAAGGTGTCCATCTCCTTAGGTGACAAGGGGTAGGGTTTCGCATTTGGCAGAAGATCGCCATCATCTTTAAGATCTATCGCATGATCCCATTTCTTTCTTTCAGGGAAGCGCTTAGATTCTTCTTCTGAGAAAACTCCCAGGTACTCGTGAAGCCAATCGGGAACCATCTCTTCGACCGATTTCTTCACCTTCATTGCTTCTTCTGCAACCTTCTGCTCCGTGGCAACCGAGGCTTTATACTTGATCCATTCTCCAGGATACTCTTCGTCTTCTATTTCCTCAACTGTCACCCTCTTCATCGCCATGTCTTCTTCGTCATCCTCTTCTGTGGGAATCAGATCTGGCACTTCTTCTATCTTTTTTTGTTCTTTTCTTTTTTCTTTATTTTTTTGTCTTTGTTCTTTTTTAGTAATACATTTAACCGGGCAACGAGAAAGTGCAAAACGTCCAGCGTTCCAATCTATTTCCGGGTTGTGATATCTTAGCCAATCTATGCCAATAATAACATCATCGCTTCCTAAGTCCATAACCATGAAGGCTGCTTGGTCTTCAACATGGTCACCAATCTTTAGACCTAATTCAGCGTAATGAGTCATCGATCCAGCGGCATTTAACGAGCCATCAATATTTTTAACCGGAATGGGCCTTAATAATTTATGGCACCGGACTTCGTTCTTTTTCACAAACTTCTCGCTAATAAATAATGTCGATGCACCGCAATCTACCAGTGCTTTCACATCTGCTTGTCGGTTCTTTCCCTTCAACGTGATCGGAATGTAAAAATGTTCAGATTTGGATTTAATATATACTTCTGATACATCCGAGAACGTAGATAGGATGGAGAAACGATTGTTCGGGTCTAAGTTCGCAGACTTTGACTTCGACCCTTCTAAAAACCCTTGCCTTCCTTGGAGCTGACCCAAGCTTTGAACCAACTCGGGATAGGGTCTTCTTCTTTTGGCACTGTAGTAGCCTTCACCTGCACCTTTGGTGCGACTGCGTCTTTGCAGTTTCTAGCCATATGGCCTTCGCCTCCACAGCGGTAGCATTTGAAGGATCCAGTCCTTCCTTGAGGTTTTGGAGCACCTCGCTGCTTGTTGGCGTCGACGTCCATAGCGTCGCTTTCCCTGCTTGGACCAGGTTTGTATTCAGGGGTCCTGGGGCCTTGTTTAGGGGTCCACCAGGTCGTCTTCTTCTTGTCCGCGTCTAGCTCTTCGAAGTTGCGTCCGATTTGGATCGCATGTTCCACCAGTTTCTTCATGGTGTTTTTGTCCTCGTAACAGACATGAGCAAGCTGTATTTTGACACGGTCTTGAAGTCCCATTCTGAACTTCTGTCTCTGGTCATAGTCGGAAAATGAAGTGTGTGCGGCCTTTTGTCTGAAAGCGGCCGCGTACTCTGGAACTGAGGAAGATCCTTGTCTAAGGGATTCCAGTTCTCTGATCGCTTTTCCTTCACGATCTTCTTGCCCCCACATGGCTTCTAAGTCTTCCAGGAATTTCTCCACGGTCAACTTCTCGTCTCCGGTCTTTCCAAGTTTAGTGATGTAAGGTTGCGCCCATTTGGCTGCAGTGCCTTTCATGAAGGAGAGCATTACTCCAATTCTTTGGCCTTCTTGGATGTTGGGCCATTGCGCCGTGTATAGCGCTACTTGGGATATCCAGACCATGAGTTCTATGGAGTCCTTTTCTCCAGTGAAGTCTTGGGGTTTGGAGTATTTGATGGAAGGGGAAGAGTTCGATGAAAGTAGGCTAGCTCCTGCAGAGCCGAATGATGGTTGTTGAGACTGTATTTTCACGGTCTCATCTTCTTGCATTTCCAGGCGTACGCCCAGGAGTCTGTTTGCTTCTTCTAGAGCTAAATTCTTGGCTTCTAGTTCCGCTATTCTGACCCTGAAGCTGTCCGCTTGGTTCGCAAGTGACATGTGAATGTAGTCGACAATTTCTTGTGGACTAGATGGTAATATCACCGTCTGTGCAGGTTGCGTAGGAGAGTTTGGTAATTCAGACATAGTGCCAGTTGTGTTCTGGAACCCGATTCACTGATGTCTGTTGAAGAGCTGCTCGTAAGGGCTCTTCCAAAAAGGAATGATGGTGAAAAGAAGAAAGTTATGTGATGGAAAACTGAAGCGGTCCCCGATATCTGATCGGATCTACCACGTACTTCAGGATCGAAGGGTTCTTTAATCAACCCAACCGATGCTTCCCTAATACTAACTAAAAAGGATACGTAACTATACTCGATCGAGTGGGAAAAACTAGGGACAATGCAATCTCCGTTCTGAGGGTACAAGCCTAGGACAAGTTATCACTCTTCCAGCCGAAGCTTACAAGTGCGAGTCTCACTAGGGTATGTCGCTAAATCCTCGTAGGTCGAAAGCACGGTTTGTCGTCTAGACAGTTCCGCTATTGACTCGAAACGAATGCCTACGTGCGTATGAAGAAAAGGATAGGTAAAATGAAACTATAGTAACGTTGAGCAGGCAGGGTTTTGGGCCAGCACTCAAAGTTGCAGTGACACGCCTAATGTCATGAACACCTCCATATACTGGCGGCTGCGGTAAGACAGGGCCTGGTATAGGACTACTAACTACGAAAGATGATAGGTAAAGAAATGTGCTCAAATGAGCAAAGGGATGAAATCAAAAAGTCGCGGCGGTTTAGGCCGGGCAAAAGTATAACGGTTCTGTTTCGGCTGATGGTGTGATGACTACCAACACGACCAGGCGAAAGAGAAGGAGATGCGAGAGTGTAACGCGAGAGTCGGAGTCTCCTATAGTTCAAACCTAATGTCACAACCCCTTAAACGAATTAACGCAGGGCAGAGACTAGGACTCAAACAACAAGATAATCACAAAGAGGATAAGGCAGCAGGTACGTCTTGGATTGCTCACTTGGAGATACAAGAGGTTTGAACTAAAGAACTACTGACTACGACGATCTACCTATATACACATATTGAAACTGAGATCGAAACTGAGTATGAACTAACTAACCAATCAGAATAATTAAAGGTATCGTACGATTCTATATATAACTATGATGTCATAACATGTGCCGCAGCCGCAGTAAGACTCTGGAACATTCCAAGAGTGTTGCGAGGCATGACGTCAACATCTTCGGCATTGTCCGATCGATCACGTGACTCTGGTAATTCTACAATAGACGCAATAATAGGAACTTCTTCAACAGTAAACATATTCTTAGGAACAGGCGCTGTGACTGGGCGCTTAAAGGACTTAGAATTAAGGAACGAATAATGGTTTGTATTTGGAACTCGTGACACCCCTGTTCCTGCATTAGAACGGCCAGAATGTTGAGGAGCAGTGTCTGTAGCATCAACTTCAGTGAGACCGATGTAGAGACTAATATCTCTGTGGGCTTGCAGGGATCTAAATTCCCATTGTTCCAATCACTTCCTAATACAGCACAACTCATATCTCACCCAGTGTACTCCAGCGCTTCATTGGCTGCTCGCGCGCATGAGTGCTTCGGTCGCGCATTGGCGTGCGCATCTACGGTTCCGTCGCCCGTCCTCCGTCCATCCATTCCATGTCTGTTCAGTTCATCGGTGCATATTCCGATTCTATTTTCATTAATTCTGACATATCTCCGGCACTTATGATCATATCTCATATGTTTTCCATTATGGACCCTTATTACATATTATTTCATATCTGTTTCGCTTCTCAGTTTGCTTTAGCGCTTGACAGCACTTAGTATTACTTAGTATAAATATGCGCGTCTAAACTGTATAATGACTATCTTTCTGCCTGCACATCGTTGGACTCTAAGTCTAAGTTTCCTTCATATCTCTTAAAGTATCTAAGTACAATATGAGCGCCCACCGCCGTACATTACTAGAAATTCTGCCAGTTAGTTTTCTGACTCATCAAGAGTCGCTACGCTCCACCACCCACTCACATGCACCACTTCTGCTCAGTGCGCGCTTCCGTTATAAGTTGCGCATTGTCACTTATTGTCGCCTGCCATTGCCCATCGAGCACTCCATGTCACTTTTGCTTGCTAGCGCTTCGCTCATCGTCGTGTGCCTTACCAGGCTTGACCAAGCGCCTGGTCCAGTGTTTCCCTCCACATATACACTTAGAGGAACCTTCTCAGTAGCAATCCCCTTGGGCCAATGTATATCTCGCTCATCGAGGACTACTTGAGTTTATCTCATACCATCATATAACCCCACTTCCCATTCCTCTTCTACACTGAGAGACACGAGCAGTATGCTGGGAACTTTGGAGAGGTTTGTAGCACGATGCCTCTCTGGTGAAGTAGCCTTTGAAGTGTCCGAAGCTTTGTGCTTGGACCTTGTCTTCTTAGGACTGGCTACTGTATGAGGAGGCATGGTGCAATACAGAGCAGCAAGACAAGAAACAAAATTGATCACTCATTATTATATACCCATCTCGGTAGAAGGATCTGAGTGGCAACCTTGAGAAAAATTATACATCTTCAAGTACTATGAGCATGTGGCTGGTATTCACCTTGATTGTATGCAGGATGCATTGCTGATGGAGATAATCAAAGACCACGCCTCTGTTAGTGAGATAATGTTCGCACCTTTGAGTCAATGCGCAGTTGTACTGCTACGTGGTTTACGAGTGGTGAGGCATGAAAGAAAGTTCAGACGTCATACAAATATTTGAGTCAACATATTATATAAGCAAAACAATGAGTCAATCAGACACAAGGCAAATAACATGTCAGTAGTAGTACGGGTGAAAAATAGCAATGAAAGTTTTCTGGAAATACATGATACATATCATGAGTCAATGTAAGAGATAGTACCACAATGACACATATTGATTATGAAAAAAACATTCACTGGTCTGACTCAGATATCATCTGATTTCTTCTGCTTTAGCGTTCCTGGGCCTTTAGGCTGCAAAGATATTGAAGCAGCACATTTCAAGTTAGGTGTACTATTGAGAATGGTGGAAGACTTCATCAGCATTGCCATAGTAGATTGAAGCTCCTCATCATCGGGAAGTTGATCGAGATGAGAGTTGAGTATGTGAAGAATGGTGTCAAAGGTAATGGGGTGAACCATGTTATCCTTCAATGCTGCACACCAATCTTTTGCTAGGGGGAGGAGAGGCTTGAAGTATGGGTGAAATTCATTGAGAAGACGTTCTTCATCCAATGGGTTCGCGAAGAAGGTAATCTTGAAGGCAGTGGATGATGCCAGGTCAAGGTTAGTCAAGCGATTGAGCAATGAATTAGACATGCGCTCCTGATGGACTGCACCATTGGGACCACTGAACTTGATACAAACCCAAGTGAATGTGAAAAAGAGAGATTCAAGGTCATCAGAGTAACCTTGGATCACATGAGAAACAGGCAATGCCAAAGAATATGAGGAGGTTTGGGGGGTTTTGAGGGTTTGCTTTGATTTCGACTTGCAAGTTTTTGATAGCTTCTTGTTCTCGGCTTCTGCCTTCGCCTGTTGCTGCAGAAGTGCAACTTGGCTGAGAAGCCTGCATGACATGAAGGGGACCGTGCCCTGGAAAGTGAATTAATATTTGAACTCGATATGAAATGATGTACTCACTGTACCACCAATGGTATATTTATTATCTGCAGTAATATGTACTGCAAATTCCCAGTCAATAAGGAACCCCTTGCTAATATCTAAATTGTCCAGAATCAACACATTATTCAGACTGCAATCACAATGCAGAATCTTGTGCTCCTCCACTGCCGTTTTCTGGACTAGTAAAAGAAGAGACATCAATTCAGCACTCTTGTTCAGCTCTGAGTCAACCAGACACTTACTGATCACAATATCCCTTAGCGCTCTCACCAACCCTCTGAGCGTTCAAAACATGTAGAGGGGGCGAGCACATGGTTTTAAGATAAGGCGGACATGAGTACAACTTGTGCCCTGGGTACTCCGGTGTTCTCTTTTGCAATAACTTCAAGTGTTGTCGACCTCACCCGCTAATGTTGTGATGAGCCAATAATCTACCAGTTCCAGAATGCCAGGGACACCATGGATCAATTTGAGCATCTTGATCTCATTCAAGATGATGTTGTCCTGCTTGCCGAGAACCCAGTGGTCCTTAACAATGTAGTCCTCTTCATTCAAACTGCCCAGATAGCAGATAGTCCCATGGCCAACGAGGCCCCAACTTGTGAAGAGAATTCTCTTGATGATATATATATTATCCCCTACACGGATCTTGCCGCAAGGTTCAGGTGAGTACACAGAATGAGGAAATTGGGAAGGATGGGGCATGACAGAACATATACTCTCTGTCAGGTCCTGGGACATTTGGGACACGAGGCCAAGAAGGGGGGCACTAGATACCATAGTAGGTTGCATGTGAGAGGGAGAGGGGAGGAGTTCTTTGTGTGCCAATGATTGAGTGGTCATATCATTTGAGCTCCCTTCAAGCGAGTCCTCACTTGAGCGTTCCTCAGAGTCAGAGACAACAGACTCGAGATGATCATCAGATGACGGGCTCTCGGAAACAAGCAGCTCAGCGAGAGATTCAGAGGTGAAAGCATCAGGGTCTGCTGAACTGCTACGCCACGTGGGAATATTATTGATTGGACGATAGAGGTGGATGTCCATGGAAAGGGGTGGCAAAACATGTTTCATGAAGGAGACTGTTGGACTGTACCCAACACATTCTAGACTGCCGAAATTGATAGCAGCGATAATATGAGAAAACAGATCTGGTTGCTGGTAGATATCGAAGTGAGTAGATACAGCGCCACCAGAGTGATCGTACATGAGGACTCTGAGATGGTGATATGTATCAGTGAATGATAAGATGAGCGTGAAGTGCCTCCAGGGCTGTTCACTCATCATAAGGTAGGTGTGGGTGTCTGCAGCCTTCCCAAGCCACATTGCAGGCTTGTAAGGACTGTATGTTAGCTCGCCGGATACCCTGATGTTTCCTCATCTTGCTGTGATATCATCAGAGAGGACGAGATCAGGTTTATGCTTTATGTCACTGCCGGGCAATGCCTTGTGAGCACTGGCTGCACTCCATGTATGAGTTGCATAGCACTCGCATTCAAGCAGGGGTTGTAATGCTGATAAGCAGCCAGCAAGAGTGTTCATAAAGGATGCGACGATTTCTTTGTAAGTGGCACTCCCTGCAGCCTCTGGGTCTGGAGTACTACCAGCACTCCCAGTATTCAAGTCTGACTCATCTCCAGGAGGGTTAACTGGAAGATCCCAGTTCCAAGTGCAAGTTGCAGTGTTGTACAGTGGCACTAGGGAATCTGGCGATAAGCCCTAATATTGTAATCTGACATGTTTGTTGGGATAAATGATTTTTAATGAGAATTCTGAGGTTGGATACATCGGGGAGAGGAATTTTGAAAGGCTGGAGGATGTGAGACAACAAATGTCCTAGCAGTTGTGATGCCTCTGGTGGATCCTCGTGTGTAACCAAATGATTGGGTTCATCAGAGGTGATTTTATTCATGGCATGAACATTGCTGATGTCAGGGATGGACAATAGGGAAGAAAGTTTGATTCCATTGTCAACCGTCCTGAAAAAGAAAGCCATTTTTTGGGTGTTTATGCTAATTATGACAATGGTGGGACAGCTGGAGACAGACACTTATCATGTATCACATAGTGCCAATGAAGCTCAGTATTTCAGGTGAACTAATAATAAAACGACTTCTAGCCAATAGTGATTAATGCTGAAAATAGTGTGGAGTGAAAAAACCGATATCTACAAAAGCTAGTACATGGAAAGTGGGAGGAATGTGTTTTTATCCCAGTATTTATTAAGCCAGAATTCTGAAGAATGTTCCATACTGTTATGTGGGGTGAGACAATGGTCTGCACTTGCACCAAAACAAGGTATAAGGTTGACAGGTGCCCTAAGCTGCATGACTGGTACAATGTCACCCACCCGAGTATCATTTGAACACATTGCTCGTTTGAGTATGTGCAGTTGCGTACTCAGCTCACAATCACTTCTACCTTGCGGAATGAAGTCAAAGCGATAAACATAGGTAAGGAAATGGTCCTTCTGCGACCAATTTGTACCAGCCTTGCCAACAGGACACATAATAAGCCTTATTTCACCAACAGTGTGGCCTGGTATTTGATAATGAAAATAGGAAGTATAGAAGAAGAGCAGAACGTACCATAAAGACCATTAATGGGCCATGCGCATTTCACATCGTTGTTAATGATGACTGGATCATACCGGCCATAGGTCCAGATGTCAGAAGGTGGTGAACAATTCAGGGTCTGGGCAGGCCATATGATACTAACATCATGAAAATCAGTATCCTGCAATCAAAGCTTGAACCAGACTTGGAGCTTTTTGAACGGAAGTGGAGCAGTAGGTCTAGCTCTCCTAGCCCCCCAATGGTGTGAACAAAATCCTGCCCATGAGCAGCTTCACGACTGAGAAAGTCAGTGATGGCTGGTTGTAGGTCAGGAAGGCCAAACTTGAGAGCAGCATCGTCAACAGAAATGTTTCTGATGGATGGGGCATAGGCGAGATGAAATGATGTGTGTCTGACAGAGAACAAGTGCAATGGCACAGGGACTGTTCCCACCTCCCTGTACTGGAGGAGCTTCGCAATTGCAAAGTGATTGGTGATGGGACATGAATGGCCGGGACATCCAATGGTCGCAAGAAGCTCTGCTGGGATGTCATGATTGTTGTCGACATCAAAATCAACGTCATCATCAACAGCATCACCATGATCTGTGTTAACCTGTTGCTTCAAGCCTGGCATATTGTCCAGCAGATTTGTGGCGAGTTCGAAGCGACGGCATTTGTCAGTGTGGTCCAGATGTCAACAGATCTGTAAATCATAGTCATGGTTGTTGCTCGAGCATGTGGGATCCTTGATTTTGGTGATGTGTGCATGTTTTGTAGTGTCAGCAGTCCATTGCATGATAACTCTGCTGTTTCGGATACTTGGAACTATGCTCTGCATAAGCTAAATCTTCAGGATATACCAGTTATCGATGATTGCACCACACTGACCACACCAAAATCCACCAGCTAAAATTGAATCTTTGTTGGCATGAAACACTTTGAGAGCTGCAGAAATGCGCTCAAGATTGATGTTGTCAATTTGAGGTGACTGCACGAGATAACAGAAGTCCATTAGAGCTCAGATGGCAGTGACCACTGCGCTAGGAACCGCTGTAGGTTTACAACTCAATGTGGTGCTATATGCTCCAAACTGATATCTTTATGTTGTAGGTCGTCCAACACCTAGTCTGCTATACTTGCAGAACAAGTGCGTTCGACCCTAAAGGGGAAGCTAGTGCAGCAAAGGCCCAGTGACGAGTGCCGAAGGTGCTGCTTAGCGGCCGATGTGAAGTGCGGGAAAGCGGCGGGTGGGCACGCAGGAACGAAGCGGCAGCTGATAGCCAAAGGCACTGTAGAGAATCATGCCTCTCATGGCGTGATATGGCAATTCCCACTAGGGAGTATACAGCACAAACTCGCAGCACCACTCTGTGTACTGTCCACAGCTATTCCTATATGAGGCGCAGCTTTCCCGCGCAATGCGCGCCATGCCTGCACACTTCCCGTGCTTCGCGATGTATATGCGCGCGTTCCCGCGCTTGAGCGCCCTATAGCGCCAGCCATCCAGAAGCATCCATCCACTGTCCACCAAGCCCTCTAGTGCGTATATTTCCATTTCTTTTATTAGCATATCATTCCACCTCTATTTTTATAATGGACCCTTACTTATATATATCTTTACATACCTACTCGGTAGCGCTTCGGCTCCGCATGACCACGCTTAGGCGCGCTATATAAGCGCCAGCAGGACATAGTACAACTTACTTTCAAAACTACTTTTTACCACTGAACTTGACCTCTAACTTTACCTACTACTTACTACCTAGAAAATCATAGTTGAGAATCTATTTGTCTGCACTTGGCACCTCTCTTCTCTTATCTTACATCATATCCTCACTTAAGCTTACTCCTTCTCATTTCCGCACGCACGTGCACGCTTTCCCGCGCTTCGCGCTAATACGCGCGCGTGTTCCCGCGCCTTGCGCACCTGCACTTTCTCGCGCTTCGCTTCAGCGCACACTTCTAGATCCTTGCTGCACTCACTTCCCCTAGGGTCGAACGCACTTGTCGTCTCAAGAATAGCAGACTAGGCAACGCGCGACCTCACAATATTATAGATACAGCTAGGGAAAGTGTGGCTGCAGCGTGGGTGGTTCAGATGATAATAGAGATGATAGATGATGGAAATAGATGTAAAGCAGAACAGTAACAGATGCGGTGCGGGTGGTAAACAGATACGGATTGCCAATAGCTACTAACTGTAGGCTAAAGGGAGTTGCTACTGGAACATCCAGAAAACCAAGCTACTGAATAATATGTACTGCTGCCACTTAAGTATAATGCTAAGTGCTGTCATACGGAGCCGAGCCAACGCACTGAAGGTGAGGAATCTTGACTATAGGTGAAAGCTCTAAAAACTAATGGGGGTTCTACAGCAAGACCAGGATACGAGACAATGACTCGACCCAAAGGACAACTACTGAGAGAAGTTCCTCAGTGATAAAATGGAGGGAAACTCTATGAGCTAGGCGGGCGCTAGCAGGTGCGAGAAGGTAACGCGCATGATGCGCACGTGAGTGAGAGGTTTGAGGGGCGTGCGCGCGTAGCGAAGGCGCGTTCCGAGCAATAAGAGAAAGGACTCCTTAAGGAGTAGTAGAAGCCCGAGTGTTGGTCAATGGAAAAGTATAATCAGATTTCAAACAAGGAGGTGCACTATACACTTTTGCAGTATACTGAGATAAGGGGAAAGTAAGTACCAGAACCGAAAGAGCCCTCCCTCTATTTAAGAAGAGAGATTATGCTATGCGGTGCACTTCCGAGCGTGGACCCGAACCGAGTAACCATATCAACTCTAAATATTATCTAAGTTTAAATAGATTCTATATATGTAAGTGTGGATGTCGGACCGAAAGTTCGTTAATTCAATGAAAGAGATGAGAATAACGCACCAGTAAATCAGCAAGGACATGGGACGAATGGACAGACAATGGGAGCGTGGAGGCCTAAAGGGACGCGCGCAAACAGCGCGAGTGGGGCGCATACGTGGGGTGCACATGCGAGAGTGTGAATGACAAGTCCTTTGGACAAGAGCTGGTATATGTAGGAATTTTAGTGGATAATAAGGCCATATATCTGGCATTGAGAGGCACAAGTCTCTACAGCACTTCCGAGTAAGGTATGTAAAGCTATATGTAAATAAGGGTCTATGACCAAATAGAAGTGGTGCGATGCGAAAATGGTCCAATAAGCAAATATAATGATGAAATAATGTACCATTGGGTTGGTAGGACAATGGATGGATGCTCCTGGATAGTGCGAAATGTCAGCTGATGAAGTGCAGGAAAGTGTGGCTGCACGCGGTTGTGTGCGCATGCGGGAACACTGCGGACATCGTGAGAAAGTAGTGACCAATGTGCATGGGTCGCGGGTAAGCTGCACTTCACATAGTAAAGCAATAGGATGCTGGGGGATACTGCAAAAATAGCCTTTACAAGGCTACAAGGACTTCCAGTCCTACACCACTGTGGATACAACAATTCAGATGGTGTATACTGAACAATGTGTTGGGTCTTGCAGAACCTAGCTGCTATTCGACCCTAAAGGGTTTCTGGACCAGGCTCAAAGCTCAGAGAAGAGGAGATATCATAGAAAACTGCTGAGTACTCTGGCTCATAGTGAAACTGGTGAAAAGGTTCCTTTTTTATGTAAGCTAAGGTGCAAACATAACTATAGGTAAAACAGCCTCTGCAAGCCTAGCCAGGAATCATTCCCTACACTGCATCTGCACTAACTGCAATGATTGAGCGCTGGATGTCACACTGAGCAAGCCCTGTAACTTGTTTGAGCTTTGTAATGCTGCCCTGAAAATGGTGAAACCCTGTGATGGGCTGTAGCACAGAAAAGCGAAAATCAAGTTCAGCATCCCCCACTGCACAAATGAGCCACTTCACATTGTGGTCATAGAACTCTTGATGAATGTGATGGAGTGTCTCAGGAGTAAGGAAATGAGAGGGTTCAGAAAGCACCCAATCCTCGAAGAATGGTTCAGATATGCCATTTAAGCAAAACTTCTAGGCTTCATGAAAGCATGCTTTGATATCATTCAGATCAGCCCTTGTCCGAATGATGCGCAGCTGGGCCAGTGTAGTTGATTTGGCCCGAGGCTCATGACGGAAAGAGTCTCCGAACTGCTTATATATGGCCATAGTGACTGGAGAGGTTTTCCCACCAACACTAGCCAGCATCATGGCCTCCGGAGTATCAATGATGTATGTAGCTTGCAAGCGGTGTGAAACAGTATCGACTGTGTCCAACAGGATCAGACAACATGACTCCTTTGCGAGCAGCCTGCTTGAGAGGACATAGCATGATATTCAAGCATTCATGGATTAGGCTATCTTCGAGTACACCTCACATACATTTTTTTTATAAATAAATTTTGGTATGGGGAGGAGAGCGGTAAGAACGGAAGTGTTAGATGATGATTTGAGCCGCGTGGACATGTGTATATTAGCAAGGCGGTGTCATGCATGGTATGTGATTCATACCATGTCAGATATATATAGAGAGTGATAAGGAAGATATGAGAGACTGTCTAGCCCTCTGTCACTAAGTTACTTCTCCATTTTCCTTTGGTTCATTGTCTTGTATTTTATTTCTCACTTTTCAGACTTATTTTTAACTTGTATTTGTATCAAGCATGTGACTTTCTGTTTATTTCTCATTGTTTATTTTTATTTGGCTTCTTTCAGCCACCAAGTTTTGTATCTCTATTTATTTCTGACTGTTTATTTTTATTTGGCTTCTTTCAGCCACCAGATTTTATTTGTCATCACATCATGTGACTGGGAAATATTCTGGTTTGTAACAACATTTAACATGACTCAACATGTTTAGTCATGGTTTGTCATGGTTTGTAATTTCTTTGTAAGATTACACTGTATCTGTAATGTACTTAGTAATAAGCTGATTCATCACCTGGTTTGTAAGCCACATTCTTACCAATCCATCTGATTAATCATGCTTAGTAAGGGGGTTCCCAAAAGGTATAAAAGGACCCCATTTTCACCCATGAAATACAATCCTCTCACTTGACTCTTATCTCAAACCATGTGAGATCACTAAGACTTAAAGTGCAGGCCAACATAAGTGCCTTGAGGTAATCTAAGATATCATTATCTACTCCAAGTTATATACTACCTTACAGGGGTTGACTATATAACTTTCGTTATCGTTTTCTTACTCTAGGTTATATATTACCTTACAGGGGTTAACTATATAATCATTGAACAGCTCTCATTCTAAGCTTTACGTGTATACATAAGACCCTCTCTTTCAATAGAAAGTGAGACACATATCTAAGGATGACAAAGTTGAAACAGACTTTCATAGGTTGAAACACGACCTACTAGGCTGAAACAAACCTAACGAATTATCCAGAACACAGAACATTCCACAACACTTCATATATGTAAGACTATACAAGAAGAGGACAATAAACTAAATCCTCCCAAGAACTCACCATGTTACCTCCCATGAAGTAGAAAAGTCAGAGACCGTGGACTTAAGGACTGGCAAGAAGTCTTCACCATGTATAATTGTGTTGTCATTATACACAACTTTCATATAAGACCCTTAAGTAACAAGACAGCGGATGAGGAGGGGATGTGTGACTCTGTCACCCGTCATTATGGAGATATTGGTCTTGTCAGATGACAAAATTGTCCCAAGGAGTGTTGCACCTCTTGTCAGGGCTGACTATTTGGAAAAAGTAAGTACAGCAACACATAGAAAGAAAGAAAAATGCACCTGCATGTTCCATCTGTCATCAGCGGTCATCCATTCAGAGTACACACGACACAATCGCTGCGCTGTAGTATACACCCTGCGAGGCATACAATCTATCTGATCGTGAAAGAAAGGGTGATTTAAAATACTCATGATGCACTCCAGGGGATTGCGCCAATACAAAATGACAGGTGATTTTGTCGGATGTACTGTAGGGATGACTTGGGACAACCAGTGTGGTCCACTGGGTAGTGTTTCAGCTTGACTATGTAGTTCCTTGGCTGACCAAAACGATAATGGAAGACTTTTTATCTTAACGGAATACTTGTCAGAATGGTGAATGCAACGAAAAAGTTTAAAACTGACCATCTCGAGTGAAAGAAAGCTGTTGATCTTTGCCATGCTCAACCCTGAATGCAGTAACCACAATGCAACCTCCCACTCTTTCCGGTCACTAAATGGGTAATAATGATTTGTGACACGGTACACACTGTTCTTGTCAGAATGAAACAGATCGAGGAATGTATAGCCCTTGCCATATGTTTGAGGGGGTTCAGGATACCAGTTGGTGAAGCCTGAGTCAGTTGGCCCGTCAACCTGACTATCGCCCTCGCCACCACCACCTTGAAATCCCTCATCCCAACTTGGGTGTCCAAATACAGGCTCATCAAGCTTGGGGTCAACATCTAAGTTCAAGTCAGGGATATTCAGCTCATGGTCCATATCTATGGAGGTGGCAGCACAAATGGATGCTGAATGCAAGTTAATAAGATCCTCTAACCAACTGTTACAGCCAGAGCGAGGCTGGCTCATGTGTCAAGCAACAGCACTGTGGTCTTGGAAGTTGCTTTTGCTGCATGATGGACACTGGTATGACATAGATAGATTGGATGTAAGCCAAAGCACCGTGAGAACATTAAGTTGCATTTTTGGAATCAACATGACAGTACTAGTACTCACATTTTCTACATGCCATGTCAAATGGCAAACCAGTCCATCTTAATATAAGTGATATCTCATCAACTTCACATCGTCCCATTCATTGTTATGCAGGCATTAACCCTCTGTGTCCATCTTGTGCTATCTCTGACTTGTATGAAGTAGTGGATGCTATCGGGTCGATGGTGAGTAACTCATAGTAGTTTACTATGTACTAGACAATGCTCTTCAACCTTTTATAGATGATCCATGATATCGATGATCTTGAAGCAAACCTCATCATGGACCTCACAAAGGCCAAATAAGATGTTTTAAATGCAGAGAAGATGCTTGCTGACTGCTTGCCCTGTGAACACAAAGTCATGGCCAGTCTCTTGGAGCATATGTAAATCCCACATTTCACAGCAAAAACTCGCCAAGGTGGATGTAGGAATAGGCCACATGCAGATTGCATTCAAAACACATGGTCTTTCTCATCATGGACACATGCCAAGTGGTTTTCAAGGTAAGTTCCTACAAATGCATGCTACCTCACACTGGTAGCACTAATTTATATATATATAGAATCGCTTGGATGTCATCACATCAAGGTCTAGTTGGATTAATGACTCGGAGACGAGGCTTTCTGAATGCCAACCCTATCGCGTCTATTTACTGTTATACCACGCATGTAGTATATAAATATCCAAATGTATTGCGCAATAGATGTTGTCTTATTGTAATTATTGTGTTTGAATTTAAACGTTCAAAATGAACAAGGTCAAAACTGGACTTAGCTGCCTCTGAGATTTGACTGGACTTGGAAAAAATTTCAAAAATGCATTGTAATTGAATTATCAAAGTACTAGTACTACATTAATAGTACACAAATTGAATTGTGCTGCACAGTTCTGTAGGCCATGTAGAACTGCGAGTGGCTGGATGCCTTGTGGTCCGAGTGCGCTGGGACCCTGATGGAACTGTAGAGTCTGTCACTAGCTGCACAAGAACACGAATTTTGTGCTTCCTGTGGGAAAAGTTGTGGTTTGCTGATGTATGTCTAGTGAGACTTAGTGGGATGGCATCCTTTGCCTCTTCTCACTCGAATCACTCATCTCGCTAGCATCAGGTAACCGACACGAAAATGATAAAGTTTTGTAAAGCTTTACCTGGCCTGACATTTGTATAATATCCATCAAAATTGCAGTTCAAAAGATAAAGCTTTATATACCCGGACTAAGTTGGATGAACACTGCCAACAGTACAATTATGACAGACTACTTGCAATTACTTGCCATTTATCACCAAACCGGCAAATGTTTGCAATCACTTGTCAGTGCTATCAGCTGTTACATACTTCGCTAATGGCCTGGGCTGCACACAATTTTTTCACTCATTTGTTGGTCTGGTTTTTTGAAATTTTTGATAAAAACAAAGTAGCAAATATACATAGGTAATTCTACAACAAATGGAAGCAACAAGATAAGAAAAGAGTATAGACGAGGAAGTAGGGTCCAGATCCAGATCCACGAAGGGCCACAACCATGAAGAAGGACCAGGACCACGAGGAAATACCAGGACCACGAGGAAGAACCAAGACCGTGAGGAAGGACCAGGGCCGTGAGAAAGGACCAGGACCGCGAGAAAGGACCACAACCATGACGAAGGACCACAACCACCAGGAAGGACCGAGATCGCGAGGAAGGACCAGGATTGAGGAGGTACCATTGGGGGCCAACCATTGAAGGGGAGTTAGGACCATGACGAAGAACCACGGAGTGACCTTGAGTGAGGAGGGCAAAATAATAATAATAGCGGTGGTAGTGGTTGAAAGGGAAGTAGCGGTAGAAAGTTGAACTTGACGAAAAAATTTCAGATGGCCCACTTACATAAGCTTCCTTTAAGGCCGAGCATTGTGATGCACTGGATTACAATGTGATGCCATTGGTTACCATTCGGTCGAGAAATGCTGGTGCACTTGCATGATCAAGACCTATTTTCATCTGAATTGTAGGTTTCTTGTCATATTTTATCCTTGAATTTCAATTTGTTTTTCTTGTATATTACTTTATCTACCTTTGTTTTTGCATGTAATCTCGTGAATTTCTGATCTCACATCAGGGTGAACAATATTTAAAAGAGGTTTATATGTTGTACAAAATGTGAAAACAATATTTGATATTTAAACTAACATAAAGATGAGTGCACAACTTCAAATTTTGGTGGTGTTTTGTGTGTCATCCAAAATATCAAATATTCACAACCATATTCCCACAGACAATATGTCAACAAATATAATAAATATAATCAGATTTTCTATGTCTGCTTCAATTATTGTCTGTGGGAATATGGTTGTGAATATTTGATATTTTGGATTACACACAAAACACCACCAAAATTTGAAGCCATGCACCCATCTTTATGTTAGTTTAAATATTAAATATTGTCTTCACATTTTGTACAACATATAAACCTCTTTTAAATATCGTTCACCCCAATGTGTCTGATATTACCAAATACACCTAGGAAAACCATCCCCTCGCCGATTTTCTGATGAGGTACACCAGTCTTATTTGGTTTGGTTTTCTCTTCTCACTCTTCTCACTCGTCATATAGCAAATTTTTGCGCACCCTCCCATATCTACCCTCCCATTGTATCTATTACAAGCGTTGTACATTAGGTATGGTCTCGAGTTTGGATTTGTTTGTATCCGAATTCATGGGGGCCCCTTGTTCTCGCAACGGGGTCCTCGTTTTGCTGGCTATATCGCGTCCCCACGAGACTTGAGCGAGGACAATTAGATGGAAAACATTACAGAGAGATGAGTTAGCTAACATTCTTGCAGTAAGTCTGCGAGGCTCCCACATCCAAGACAAAAACTGAATATTTCAACAGCCTCTCGCAAATTGCAATTAAGGCTTTTTCAGTGTCTCCAATGTCCATGCCGGATGAACAACAATTAATTGGTTCAACTCTCGACTCAGACCATGAGTTTGACGATAGCACAGATTGGTTGGATGGTCCAGCTGCTCTTTCAGAGTTTAGGACAGTGAAAAAAGACTTATTCATGCTTGCAGCATCCAGCGGTATTGATTTATGTGCACCCTACCTACGTGAACTGCTTGATTCAGTCAGAAAACAACCTTGACAGCCGGGTTCTGCACCAACAAAGAAGGCTGCAAAAAAACTTGTCTCCATCTCAGGCTGTCCCTGACCGGTCAGACCCTTCTGCTTGGGACGAGTGGAAATAACTCACCTAATTCACCCTAATTCACAGTAGATTTGACCTGATTCACCTGTGGAATAGCGTTAATTGACAGGCATGTTGATTTACGGTAATTCACGCGAGTGAATTTGAAGGCCTCTGGGCGCATTGTAAATTTACCCTGTGAATATCGGACGGTTCCAAATTGACCGTACGCTACTAGCGCTTACTGCTTCCAGTGTCACAAAGCGAGGATTGGGCCCATGTGTTCCGTGATCGATAACATAGTAACATTCCTGAACACTGCAGTGCTTGCAAATAATTAAATGCAGGCTCGCATAGCTTTGGCTTTAGTGAGAACTCGCCAATATAAGTAGAATGTGATCAGCTACTAAATTGCACACGTACTGGTATGCGGTGCAGGATCATCTGCAACGAGAATGGACATGGGAAGGTTGTCGGCGAACGGGACAGTTTAACTGAAACCAAATAGGTCGACAGTTGGTTGAGAAAGTGAGATGAGCGAAGAGCAAAGTGCTGGAAGTCACGGTAAGGCTGATACCTCTGAAGATTATGATGTAGATAAAACACGTATTGAAAGACAGAATGTGTTCCATTAGGAGCGGATTCGGCGAGAAGCAAGAAGAGACAATTCGGTTAGAGGCAGATCTTGGGAATCGACGAGATGAGGTGATGAAATTGCAGTATGCACTCGGACAAGTTACATGATGAAGCGCCGGAGAAACTGCTCGACACGAGAAACAATGATATTCATGCGGCAATTCATTTATAATAGATAACTTTCAGCCAAATTCGAGGGGCGGAATTAGCGACTGCGCTATTGCTATTGGATGACAGGGGATATATTCTGGAAGTCGCGGAGATGGGATTCAGACGTACGTATATAGTGCACTTGAGGAACGCGGTTATGGCTCGTAGGGAGCATGCTTGCTGCAACAGTGGTCGCAAACTGCCTCGTGTCTTGGGCGTCTATAGAAACAAGTTAGGTTAGCATGGTGGTGAAGTAGCATAAAAACGCACAATGCACGCACGTCTGCAGCTCAGAGAAAGACACCCACAATCCCTCGAGCGTGCTCAATACCATCAACCTCTAGTAAAATGTCACAGCTCATTCCAAGCACCAGACCCCTTCGAACTTTTGAGGATCACGAGGAGCGCATATACGCAGTCACTGTATTCCCCGATAATCGACAAATAGTCACTGCCTCGAACGACAAGACACTTCGTCTGTGGGACTTGAAGACAGGTGTTGTGTTGAAGAAGATGGAAGGGCATAGCAGCAGTGTGTGGGCATTGGCGGTATCACGAGATGGGAAATTGATAGCAAGCGGTGATAGAGGCGGAAATCTCATCATCTGGGACGGTGGAAATGGAGAATCCCTCACCCAACCCATTGAAGTCAGCCTCAAGTGGATCACCTCGCTGCATTTTTCTCCTGATGGTACGGTGCTGGCCGCTAGTTCATCTGACCATACGACAAAGTTTTGGTGTACCAAAACGTGGCAGATGCAAGGAGGTCCAATCGAGTGTGGTCTGATCCACTGTGTTCGGTATTCGCCTTCTGGTGAACTTCTTGCCATCGCAACAACAGAGGATATCCAAATTTATAATCCAGGCACAAGGGAACGTGTCGCATCTTTCGATTCCAAGGGTCGCAATATTGCATACAACTTGTCACTTGCTTGGACGCCCGATGGTACACGCCTTCTCACAGGCGGCAATTCGGACGATCCTACCATACGCGAATGGGATACAACAAACTGGTGGCAGGTCGGTGATCCTTGGAAAGGCCATACTCGCCATATCTACGCCATTGACATCCATCCTACTGGCGCCCTCGTCGCTTCTGCATCTAATGACAACTATGTCCGTCTCTGGCGGCTCTCAAATCGACGAACCATCGCCATCTTCCAACACTCATCCTTCCCGACATGTGTCACGTTCTCTGCGGATGGCAAGCACATCTTCAGTGGAGGCGTTGATAATAAGATCTCAAAGTGGGCAGTACCCAAGGACGCTCATTCAAAGGTGAGTTTCCATTCCTGACTCATAACATAATTCGAGCATCTTTTGTGCAGATCCTGACTGTCACGCTGGCCCGCGATGCGTGCATCACTGGAGACTTGTCTACCGCCGAAGAGCTGCTCACCCAAGAGATCGACACCGATGCCAACGGCTATACTTCATATGCCCATCGGTCATTCATTATGGCACGAAAACGTGCCTGGGACCACGCCCTACAGGATGCAATCAAGGTGAGTTTTACTGTCCTATCATGGCCTTCTTACAAAAGGCTAACCTTCATTTGTGACGTAGTCTATCAGCATCGAGCCTTCATTGACAGGCTACATCTCCAAAGGCATCGCCCTCTGTGGAAAAGGTCACGTACAGGAAGCAAGGATAGCATTCGATGTCGCATCCTTGTTCACGGACCAAGATCCAGTCACCAACCATTTTCTTCTCTTAATAAACGTAGGTCAAATCCGTCTCGCATGTTCCCTTTTTCATTGCGTGTTTCAGGCCATCGCACTCTTCAATGCAGGTCAACACGAGGAAGCAATACTGTTTATCAAAGAGCTGTCTGCCGTTGATCCAAATGCCGATCTTCTCGGATGTCGTGTCGTGGAAGTAAGTATCGTGTGGCCACGTTATCAACACTGATCCTTGCAACCTCGCACATCAGAAATATCTACATGTTCAGCTCGGAACCAAAGCCTCGGATGGCGCGCATCATGACAAAGCCGCCGATTACTTCACTGCCGCCGTCAACGTCGCTCTGTCATCAAAATTCATTCATTTGATATATGAGGATTTGGTCATGGTGCGTCAAGATGATGCATATTTAACAATTTCATCAAGGAGTGTTTTGTCCAGCTCTTTGGCTGGGATCTCCAGTCTTTGTGTCTCACTGCACATCGGAAGCGGTGTCAGGCATTACTCTCCGCAGGTAAACCCGACGAAGCCCTCAAAGCACACCAATACATGATAGACGTCATCGACGAAACCGTGAAGGCCAGCTGCCATGATTGGTCGAACGGCAAGTTTTCGGTGACGTCAACCCAAGGTTATCATACTCACTCGCATTCCAATCAGAATTCAAGGAGCAATGTAATACTCTTGCTGCGTACAATGTCCGTACTCTTGGCATATGCATTCTCTCCTCATCCCTTTCTCTACTGACATGTATTGCAGGTGGAGATCCACGATCAGGATGACTATAATACAAGACCCAATTTCTTCTACGGAACGCATCAAGTACGTGCAACAGCGTATCCTTATTTTCCTCTCTTTCACATCGTTCATTACAGCACTTTCAAACCCCCCAGTCACGACATCAACAGCGCCCTGGGCGTCTCGAAAGACTCAAGCTCGCTATGGCGAGAACCCCTCGTTCAGTTTCTACATCTGCACTACCTACCACCTCACCACCAGCCGCCGCCCCTACCACGATCATGGCTCGACTAGTAAACCTAGTCCCCTGGCGGTCTGATCATGCAGGGACGCCCGTCGTCGATGTTCCTTTTGCGCAGGGTCGACATGTGCGCCCAATTGATTTTTATAATCGTGTATTGGGTCTGATACATAATTTACAGCGTTATGCTGCAGCGGATGCTCCTGGAAGTGAACACTCCTTGATACGTGATGAAGACTATCATGGATCTCCTACACCGGACCCCAATTCACAACAGCAACAGCAAGTAGACGCCGGGGAACATGGAGGTGGCCGGTCGCGTCGCTGCTGCTAGAGGAATCAGCTAATGTCCGGGGGTATTTCAGTTCTATCGTTGCCCGTAAGGTGGACTGGAAGCAGTACTTATTAGTAGATAATAACTACATCCTTCTTTCGCGTCATCATCCATAGCTTTTCCCTGCCGTCCTCGATCTCGAGCCTCAAGACCCGTAATGTCTTATCTTTAGATCCAGGAGCTATTGTCTTGTCATCTGGAGACACAGCTATAGAGCTGATTTCGCCCTCGAGCATCTTGTTAAACTGTTGGTGTGAGTTTCATGCCACATGGTAGTGGGCTGTTCCATAAATGAAGGTACTATGTTAGATTATTCGTGTTGCATGCCTGACAGGAATTCAGAGGTGCTAAAGAACTCAATAGGAGAAACTGGCTTCCAGCGTCTATGGAAGTAAGTCCTTTGGCGCTGTTGCAAACAGTGAGCAAGCGTGAGAAACAGTGACTTTCATACTCCGCTCGGAGGGCCTGCAGTGTCCCGGCCATGTCCTCGGAGAATGCGGGTAACCCACATACCTACCCTGTCTATGTTTAAGGTGTGCTCCTGGAGTGCGACACGTCTACAAGCCTCGTGGGATGCTGATAGGCGCTAGGATCCAAAAAGAAAGAAACTGAATGATTATCACTCCATCGATTCGATGCCAACTTCACGTCTCCTCTTACTGACATTCCGTCAAGATACGCTACCGCCGAATCCGAGTTCCATCCGCTTCCTCTGCCTTCATAGTACACGACCCCGAATGCCTTCTCGTGGTTCGCCCGCTCCTCCCCATTTCTCCTTACAGGATGCACACTCACCCTGCATTCTGAGCTTCCGCTCGCCCACCCGTGCGTTTCTACACTTGGTGTCACTATACCATCAACTTCTGCAGACAGGGTTAGTATGATATACAGTATCCAAGTTGTTGCGGAAATACGTGCCCGTGGTTAAACTGGCGTCACAGGCCAAGTGTTAGTTGGTGAGGAAGGCCAAGACGGTGAACTGTCGCTACGACATTCTCGGTCACTAGATTCGGGTATGACAATTGTTGGTGTAGATTTCGTGGCATCTTCTTCGTCACACCTGTAGTGTTTAAGGCTTTGACCCAATCTGTCTCAAGTGGAACTCCTCTTAGCCAAGGTAAATTTAGTGAGGGAGGAATGGTCACTGCGTAAATGCATGGCCGATATGCGAGCATACTAGACGCTCCAGGGCGACTTTCCCTTTGCTGAGTTTGGCGGCTACGTCTGCAGGACTCCGCGCCCAAATGATGGCCTGATGGCTACCACTGTCACCTGGGCCAATATCATTCTCAGCGCGCAATTGATGCCTGCTGTACGCGTTGTACTGTTTTTAGGCAGACCAATATAACAGTTGTTCCATTCAATGGAACATTGTTGTTAGAATGTTGTTTACTGGATTTTCTTCTGCATATTTTCCATACCATATGTCCACCTTCCCGAGCTATGAAACTTTTTATGTAAGCTATGTAGGTCCCAGCTCTACCATTGTGTGGATCCTTGTTTCTGGACTGTCTGGCTCATCACAAGTTGATACTTACGAGTGATCGCAAATGATCGTGAGTGACCAATTCACATGTAATTCAATTGGACTTCTATTAATAATCCCTTTGATAGTTTGTCTTATCTCTTCCATCCACTCCCATCATCTGTCTTCACTACGTTCCTTTCCAACATGCCTACCTTGAGCGAAATCACGGAAATGGCCAGCGCACTCGTTCTGCAAGCTCCCGGCACGGACGCTCCTTTAGACGTGCTAGGGGACTGGGGACGCGAAGTCGCGCGATTTCTGGTGAGCTTCATGGTTCTTCAAACCCTTTCCCTCGTCAACTATAGCTCCTTTCCTAGACTTGGCTCGACGCCGAGGAACGTAAGGTGTTATTCACGCTCACGGCGGTCTCTCAACTCCACACAACCTTCCAAGAGCAGGTGGATGCGCGCCTGCATTACCCTTGGCGATCTTGGGGTCGCCAGTGGCTTCCTCTTACTGCTGAGGCTTGGGAAGCAAAAATGCAAGCTTTAATGGGGAATCCCGTGATCAGGGACCCTCTCGCTAGCACCCAGTTGTCTTCGCTTGCTATCATCGCTCTCCTCGACCCTTCTAACGAGGGCAAAGGTGGTAACCGCGCTGGCGCGGGCGATGAGATAACTGACGAGAAGTCTACGCATCACACTCGCACTTCTCAGGCTAAATGCCCTCGAGAGGAAGCGCTGCAAGGCGACATAAGTTCTGATGTCCAAACGGTACGTCTCCCCTAGGTTCGCATCTTGTAGTGACTAACGTTAGACTCCATCTATAGCCTTCTTCATTCGCGGACCGTCCTTCCAATCGGCCCAGACTCCCACCCTCCGTAAAGAAACCACTCCGGCGCATGCCTCCATCCAAACCCCGCTCTTTCAACGAGCTAATGCAAGACAGCAACCTGCGAGACCCTCGCGTAGTGAGTTTCTTGTTTCTGTTGAACCTCTTTCATACTAAGCTCTTTTCCGGCCGCCATAGGTGGTGCTTGAATGCAAGAGATGTGAAAAAAAAAAACCATCGGCGACGAAGCTCTGCCTCACCGTACTTCGTCTGTGTTCGCAGACTGACGAGTACGAACTATCAAATTCCTGCATGCGCTGCATTGTAGACCATCAGAAGTGCGAGTGGCCTGCTGGTGCTATTTCTAAGAACATAGGTATGTTTCTCATGGTTTAATGGAACCACAACTTGTTGACTTTGATATGCATTCGCAGGACACCGTGTGCACGTCTCTGCAAAATACTTCTCACCCACCGAGGATCAGTCGGCAGCTCCAAAGTCGCTGGGGCCGACGTTGACTCAGTCTGGTGCCTGTGCTTCACACGTAGTTATCAATTTGCCGCACAAGAACACAGTGAAGGTCACTTCTTCTGCTCAGCCTGCACCCGGCCCTTCCTCGGCTACTACAGCAGAGCAAGTGAAACATACTTCCGACATCATCCAGCTGCCTACGCCGAAGCGTTCTATTTCGCCCATCTCAACTTGGATAATGGAACTGATGTAACGGAATTCGTGAACGACCTCATGGCATCAAGTTACCAGAAGAATCGTGACTGCGGTCGTGTGCGAAACCCTAATGTCCACGAGAGCAAAATCTATGCTTTCCCTGTTCGACCTACGGTATTTTAACCCTATCGTCACTGGCACGGAGCTCTCGATTACCTCAGGCTTGCGATCTTTATTTCATCGACATGTTCCCTAGCTACAGGCTTGTCGTCTCGTGCAGTAGATGTCGGGCGCCTTCTGCTTGTAGTCAGGGCATGTGTTCAGGACATCTATAGCATCTGACACGAAGCTGTCATTAACAGTATCGTTTTTGAAGAGATCAAACACCAACACTACATGTTGCGTGGAGACGGCAGGGAAGGGCGTCTACGAAGTAGTGGGTGAAGAAGTTGTGGATAAACTATAGCCTAACAGCTACCGGTGGCGCTCACCCATGCCATGACTAGTCTGCAGGACGCCGAGAAGCTTCCAGTATAATTCTGGGCTCGACCGATGCAATTCAACTATGCCCTCAAGTGTTCTGCAAGGCGAAAAGGACCTGGCTCTGGCTGTGACTGACTAGCAATCCGTTTTCTTCACAAAACTAGGATCTATATTCACTTCATCTGCTTTCGGAGTACCTGACCTCGGACACTTTCTCATATTTCGTTTACTTCCCGCTTCTCAGAAGCGGTCTAGGACAAAGCCTCGTGGATTCCCCATGCCTGCCTACCACTATTGATATATCCTCATACCCTTCATACGATTTGAGCCAAGTACAGATGACCTTAAGCCCTTACGGCCTGCATGTATTGTCCCACAACTTTATCAGGTGTTGATGAGTCCGTTGTGATGAGTTTTCCCGGGTGCCTTTCTTCCTCTGCTGATTGAACTCAAATAAATGACATGCTCGTCTTGCCTGTCTACATGCATATGCTGGACCAGCTCTCCTATGTAGTCTAATATCTCTCCGGCGGATATAAGCTTCTTTAATCTATACACCGTCAGTCATAAGCTCTTTCAGTTTCGCAACTTCGATCCGGGGAATGACATCGATTTCAAATGGCCTTGCGTGGGCAATAACAGCATCCAAGAAAGCATGCGTGTTGATCGGGGCGTCAGGTCGTTGAACGATGCGGAAAGACCACAACAGAAGTGCGAGGCTGATGTACAACGAGTGGTTTGCGAGGTGCAGACCGGGACATACACTTTTGATGACAAGTGAACTTCAACGACAGTGTCAAAAAACGATGTCGGCACGGCTTACCGTCTACCAAAGCCATATGTGATGAACTTGACGTTGTCTTTGAGGCGGCCTTCGGAGTCAATCCAGCGCTGGGGATCGAACGTTTCAGGATCTGGGAAGGCAATAGGATCGCGAGAAATAGCCCTGGAAACATGCACTTAATGAAGCGGTGTACATCGAGAAGTGACACCTTACCATTGGCACCCATAAACTATTGCACCCTCAGGAATGTAGTATCCTTGCTGATCTCACACAGACTAGAATGAGAATGTAAGTTACGATCAATCTAAGATACTAACCCAGAAAATATCCTTTGTTGCACGGTGTGGAAATCCTGAGGCACATATCAGCATTGTGCAGGAGCGTGCAGAATTTGAAACTGACCTATGCGGATGACAGGTCTCCATCTCAAGCTTTCCAACAAGAACGCATGCAATTGGGGGAGGGAGCTTGAGTCTTCAAATGTTGGCGCTACCACGAGAAATTAGTCGAGAAATCAAATACTTCGTATCCTTTAGCAGTACCTCTGTCTGACCCGATGATCATATTAAGCTCCTCGTGGACCTTTGCCTGGGCCGCTGGGTAACATGCTGCAGCCATAATAGCAACGGTCATTGCAACAGCGGTCTGAACTACAAATAAGTACCTTCGCGGAGATAAACTGGTTGCATGACTTGCCGTATCAGATCCCGCCCCAAAGAGTGATCCGGCAAGATATGCCATTTCATCTGTGGAAAGTTGATATTCATTGGCGTGCTCCAATAGTGTCTTAGTAAAAGAGGGGCCGGCTGTGTTTTGATCCTAAGTATGACAAGATATAAATGAATGCGTTCATCAAAATGGAAAGCCACTTGCAATTTCACTCTCGACGCGCTGTAGTTGATGCTTGTATAGCTCTAGCTCCTCATGATGCCACTCAGCAAGTTGTTTTCCGTAACTAGGCCAGTAGCGCAAAAGGGGCACACGATCGACGAGATAAGCTCCTGGGCGCATCGCGACCTGAAAATGCTCCATGACTCTGCGGATACGGACAACTTCAGGATCGGTGTTGGCAGTGGGCACAGACTTCCCATAAGTCACCCGAAGAATGACTGATGCTGCAAATCTTGAGGTACATATCTATGAAAGGATCGCAAAAAGTCATGGTAATGACGGACCTCTGTGCGTGCTTCTGGGGGTTCTTTGGATCATTCAGCATATCCAATACGAAAATCATCGCATTCTCGCGTTGCATATTTTGGTATGTCTCTGCCACCTTCGGTTGTAAATGGGTATGTACTGCTTTCCGGAGGCGCCGAAAACGATCTCCGGAACGAGCCATGAGAATCCGCATTCCCTTTGAGAGCATCTCACCCACAGCAACGGACCCCGGTCGATCAACCAGTGATCCCCCCTCTTTCTCCATGATGTCCGTGGCTGCCTGGTAAAGCGGTCGATGTGGGTCATTATTAGAGGAAGCTTATGCTGTGAAATGGGTTACCTCAACGCTGCCAATGACAACTATCACTTGGCTACCTTGTCGCAACGACACGATCGAGCCATACTCCCGGACCAAGTCGGTCAGCGCATGGGCAATGCTGAGTGGACGATCTTCATCAGCTTCTAATATCGTGGATTTGAACATCATCAAAGCTCACTTCACAGTAGGTAAAGCGTTGCTCCAGAACCAACGGGCGGGAGGTCCAGGCGGAAGCGGAATGCTGTTCTTTCCGGAGGCTAATGAGGACTTCTGGTATAACTTGGCAAAGACCACCACGATTGCGACGATACTAGCGGTATATGATATATTGACACTCATGATGGAGTTTTCTGGGATCATGGTGTTGAGTGGGCTGGAAAAAGATTTGAGTGAAAAATTCAATAGCACTACTTATCTTATTCGACGCGGAAGTATAACCGGGATTAAGGTCGCTCTGGCTGGGAAGGGGAGCCGGACTTCGTAATGCAGATTACGGTAGAGGAGGAGAATCATTAGCCACATTACTGTTCAACAGTGCCTCTGTTATTCGGTATAGACGAATGTAGTTCGGAATCACCTCTTGCTAGTGAGAATGTCAAGCTGGGAGTGAGTTCTTGAAACATGGACTAGGGCAGAGTCGAATCGCCGATCACTCTCCAACACGATGCCACGGTTATTTGGTAAGGACGCCGAATATTTGTGATTCGGAATTACCTCTTATCCGAGTCAGTGAGAAGGTTAGGCTGGGGGTTCTGCGTGGACCATAGCGATGTTACTATTGACCCAACTTTACTTGGAACAAGGATGATAACGTTAATCTGGACCCTACATGTTGGTTCAACTCAAGCTTTGTTCTCCACATAGTAACTTAAAGTTTTTGATTACATAATATTTATGAACCAATTAAAATCGCTTATTATTCAGGCTGACACGCCAAATAATAAGAGCCCAGAACTCATAAATATGTCTATATTCCAAATTTCAGGTGTAAGCGCTTCCTCAGGCAGTGGCTAAGCCTGTCAATGACATTGAACAAACAACATACAACAAAAATACATCGGCACTTCCTAAATCAGCTACTTAGTACCGTTGTTCTGCGTTCGTGACATCCATCGCATTAATGCTCAAGTTTTATCTTTTTTAATGGGCAAGAATCCCTGCACAGGAACCTTTCATTTACTTGGCATGACGTCTACCATATGCTCGGTATGCGTAATGGAAAGCAGGCGCCCACAGGGTCAACTTGAAGGTGTGAAACTCTCCAGCCGATGTGGCTGCGTGCTAGGTTCAAAATCGTTACACGAACATCATGGTGTTACACAGCTCACAGATAAGTATTCACTTGGCAATTATTCCCTTGACGTGACGTACACTTTCAAAAATTTTGTTATTCAATACTGAACTTCCTTCAGGCATGAGTTTTCTCGCCCCATGGGCAAGAAGACGTACTATTGGTCGGGTCTTGGGCTCTTCTCGCAAGCCATGCATGCATTAGTCTGTTGAGGACCATTCTATGAAAGGCGGAACATGTGTGCAAGAGATCCGAGGCGGTCCGCAAGGACGTCTCTGTGAAACTGCTTCCAGTGTGCACCGCGAGGAGTGTGAAGGTACCAGGGACTGACGTGACGTCCGCTGCCAAAGGAAACCGCCTATCCCTAACTTCGTGCACAAGTTCCTAAGGAAGGGAACCGAAGTGCCACTTGAAGTGTGACTGTCAGCGCTGATCAATGTATTTCAAGGGACCCCCGGTCTTGTTCCGCTTCCGATTTTTTTGCGCATGTTGTAAGGCATGTGCGTTATTTTTCTTCTAAATCGAGTATTTCCTGTGTCAGGTACCATTGAAGCGACGGTCTTAGTTAGTCTTAGGTGCGTCGAGGCTATTACATATATTAATAGCCAAGGTACGCATTCCGACTATTCGATTGATTTTCTCGGTCACTTATTTCTTTTAAATGAACGGATAGTGTCTCAACCGAGTTCTCATATATCACACCAGGACCTCAGCTGACAGTTAATCTCCGACGCCACTGGTATTTTTTCAGGTGGAAGACATTGATCAGCCAGCTTGAAGACTGTATGTAAGTACTCAAGTTAGTCACGTGCTTACCATCCGGCATGTCTGGCGAGCGGTGCGGTATCGGTGCACACTGCAAACCCACGATTCTCTCGCAAACATGAAGTGATCGCTGTCTCACCAGCATTCATTAATCTTCCAATAAGCCTACCGCTATACCTAAAACATGAGGCACCAGGCACTAAAACAGCCTCTTTGATCCTGGATGTGTTCATGAAGAAAGGGACTGCGTACGACATCGCTTTATACTGTCATGAGGGTGCCTTCGACGTGTCTGAACACACCACCGGTCTATAGCTGCAACTCCCGACAACCCTGGGGCTTGCAGCAGCACTCTCACGGCCCGCTGGGGTATAAAACCCCATGTTTCGATATGCAGAGTAAAGCAATACATCGAGCTCAATTTCTCTACTCAAATCATCCTCACTATCATGTCACAAGAAATCAATCCTGATGTCGAGTTGTGCCAATACTCCGAGGACATGACTGCGTACACGCTAGAGCAGCTTATCCAATGGCGCGCTGCGCTAGAGCGCAAGGCCAAGGAACAAGAGGAGAAGGAGCGAGCCGGTGGGTGTGATAAACTCAATTCTATGACAAAACTGACAAAGGTCGAACATACAGCGAGGGCATCACAGAGCAACAATACAAAGTCGCGATCCTAACATGCCTCAATCTCGGCAGGTGTGTCCGCCGCCATCCGTTTACCTACGTCGACCTGACGCCCTTTGTTGAAGGCTCAAATATCTAGTCATGCCTATGTAATAATGTATTTCACATGAGTCTCCTGAGCTCGTGGTCTTCCTTATGCGTATTAAATATTTGTGTGTTCCTTCGCTGCACTACGTACTGCTGTATTTTCACTACATGCACATAGATATATAACGGCCGCGGAGGATGGATAATCGAGGTTTAAACAATTCTATGACAGTTCCTATTAACGCCACTTCTTCAAACACCTAAAGCTGGAGCTTCGCGACACCCAACTTGAAGATGGAATGTTCTGAGGCTGAGCGCAGAGCTAAGACAATGCTCTGGTAACTATTCAGGCTGCGATACATCGAAGACCCGTAGGGACTAAGTCAGAGGAGCCGACGGTCTCCTGCGAAGGAATCTGCAACGTGCCACCGTTCGTGAATCAACCTCGGGTCATCGATGCATCAGCCCGCGCCTCCAAGCTTCGAAGTTCAAGCATTATAGATCGATATCAAGGCGCACTGGATGTCAAACGAAGCACCTCTTTTTGAGTTCATAGTCGGAGAAATTTTGAAGAACGAGGGGTGGCCATAATGGAAGCAACAAGTAAACGAAAAGGGACGCATCGTGTACGGGCCTAGGCATACCTTATCGATGACAACCATGAGTTTCCGGTTTTTATACATGTACATGTACAAGAGCACACGCCCATGAGATCGAAAAACCTATCGGTTAGAACCACCACCAATATTTGACATCTGATAAGAATGACACGAGCATAACGCTTTTATAATTGTTTTGTCATGATACTCTACGTAGCATATTGAAATATGTGACAACTTGAACTAAATGATACAACATGACAAAGGGACATGATATACACGCCGCAGTATTGGGCTTGAGGGTGGGAAGAGAAAACGAAGAGTAGTGTTATCTTGCCTGGCGTGCACTCAGTTAAGTTCAGCTGGGAACGACAATGGTGTTGCATGGCACATACATATAGACAGCGCAGGTTTTGCACACCGAAATGACATTCTACCCACTCAACGCAGTCTTTTGTGGGAGTCGAGCGTGCTCTGGAATATAGTTTAATTCCCATACACTCACAGGAAGAATCAGCCGGCTACCTTTAGGACCATACTTGTCGGCGCTGTCCTGCTCTCTCTCCCGCTCGCATTCCTTTGACAGGCGTTCCAGCGAAGCTTGCCATTCTACGAGCTGCCTCAAAGTGTGCGCAGCGATATTGCGAGAGTACTCGCGCAGTGCCGTGGATGTTTCCCCCATGATAAGACTTTTTGAAGTTTTTGAAGAGTGAGAGCAGAATTACTGACGTCACTATATGTGAGGCAAGCAAAGAGTGAGAAAGCTGCGGATCTAGATTTGAGATGAATTTTCAAAGAGGCGCCAGTCTTCTTTCAAGTTATATACGTGATCCCATGCAGGTCTGCATCGAGGCCCTGTTGTGAGTATGGGAAGAATCAATGGGATCTTCCAGCTGACAACTTTACAAGAACCGTGAAATCGGACTGAAACGAAACAGTGAAGTGTAAAATGAACGGATTTGACGCTCGTGTTCGCTTTGAAAAGAGCACTTCGAGTGATGTCACACATGAGTGAGAACGTAACCTTTATCCGCGTGCTTTACAGAGTGTGGGGTTTGGAGTCAGGTTCCCCACGGAGCGCGAGATTCGATTTCCTTCGAAGAGAAGGTTCTAAATGGAAGCGAGCTCATGCCGAAACGAATCTACGGCAGTACTCCACAGCTACGTTTCAAAGTCTGTCAGTAACCCTGGACCCACCGCTCTATGCCGCCGAGGGACATGTAAATTTGATTACGCCTTGTGTCACAAGTGGAGCCTGAGGTCATTCTCGTCATCTGGTTTCAGGTAGTAATTTTGAATGACAGTACCAGTAACTCACCAGTGCCAAACTTGCCGAGTAGAAATTTCAGAATGCTAGCCAACGTTGAAGTCAGCCCTGAAATATAGAACGTTGCACGTCGAAGTGGAGGTCTGCTGGTACCTCTATTGGTATGCCGCAAGTCGAGTTGCTCATGGCTGCACACTGAGTAGAACGATTGCTAGTAATGTTGAGTCTGGGACTCCGATGAAGGGGATTGCCTTTCCCTGGGTCCCAATCATGAAATGACCTCGCAATTGATAGCTTGAAGGTATTATGAATCTAGTCCAAGTCCCAATATTAGATCGATACTACGGTAGCCTGGACCTCAGGCGTCAGGCCTTAGGCCATAGGTATTTTAGGTTGTAGACTGAGTGATGCCTCCGAGTGGCCAGGAGAAAGTAAGTATTCAAACTCCGTGCAACAACAGACAATAATTATTACGGCGTGTTCCTGCTCCGCGTCATTAACTCGAACGCTTCAAAATAACTTACAAACACACGCGCATGCGGCCTACATCTCATATCCGGTCAGGGAGATGACCTTGTGCACCACATGACATCGACTCGGATGTATAACAAGTCACAAAACTTGCTTATGCTGGCATGAAGAACGTCCGAGTCGGTGAGAAACATTGCAATTCAGATACTTTTGAGGTAGGTAACCTGATATGTACACAATAAATGGGGTCGCAGCAAGTGTGTGTAGCACAAGCAGCAAAACAGCCTGCAAAAGCACACCAGGCGGAATAGGGTAAATTATCGAGTCTCAGTGAGAGTTCAATTTAGCTTCACGACTCATGCGAGGGAGCACGACCACAACTACAGAATAATCCGCAACACCTAACTTCATAAGAAACAGTTCCCGTCCTACCATTTGACCCTTGCATTCCTGTTGGTTGCCCTTGAGACACAAGTGTCCACAGCATAGCTTGAGGTTGGCCCGGTTGCGTTGAACTGCCAGCCTCATTGTTTGTACGAGGCATAGCTGCGGCCGCTTCGGCGTCAATCTCCCATACCTCTGTAAATTTGTTAAAGAGGATTGGATATTGCCAATGTCGAGCACTCACATCTTCATCGCGACAGGGAGCTACGACAATGTATCTAGAGACTCCTACAGGAAATGACCTGAAATTCCAATGCCGGGGCTCGAACGGCACTGATTGTGGTGCATGTGCAGGTCGAGTGCATTACGCCAGCGAAGGTCAAACGATTGGCTAGCAGGAGTTGCGGGACGAGGCGTGGGGTTGGTGTCAGTGTCCTAGAAGTCTTTGCCCTGTACGAATATTAGACTTGCATGATCCGAGAAACGAAAGATTATACTGACATATTTTGCCAAGCCTCTGTTGTTGGGCTGCTGCTTGAAAAATAGACTAGTGTGCATGATCTGACGATACAAATGAGCAAATGATTTGTTCACAGCTGATTGACGCACATCTCTCGGTCGGGCTGCACGTCCCTAGTAAAGAAGTAAGTTACAGTGAGTGCACAAGGAAAGCATAGATGACTTGCTTTGAGCTTTGCATTGTCCTCATCCACATTCTGAACGACAACCAAACCCACTTAGAAAAGATGCTGACAATACATTACAAACACTCACATCATCATTGCCTCGCCGCTTCAGAGCTGCCTCGAGACTCCGCAGATAAACTTTTGCATCTGGTCCAGTACTGGTGATATATTTTCCGTCAGGAGACATGACAACAGTATAGAGTTCGTCGTCATGCAAGAGTGGGTTGCCGACTAGCTGATTCGTCTTGAGGTCCCAGATGCAAATCGAGTAGTCAAGTGATGCGCTAACCAGATAATTTTCATCAGGGGAAAGACAGGGAGGTGATAGTATGGTCATGACCCTGAAAGACAAAGAGCTCCTTCCCATCAATCGACCGCCATTTTCGGATGGTGCGATCGACTGACACGAAGAATGCCGTCCCTGGACCAACACAATGACGTCACATCGCTGTCGTGGGCCTCGATCTTCATGAGCAGCTCGCCATCCTTTGACCACACGTAGATTACTTTGTCCTTCCCGCCGCTTGTGAATTCATCCCCTTGTGGAGAATATCTGACAGCGCAAACCCTCCCTTGGCCGGTCTCTATTGGTGGTGCTATTTGTCGACCAGTATCCGAGTTCCAGCGTCATATGGTGCTGTCGGTCGATCCACTTGCTATCTCTAGGACATTAGGAGACCAATCGAGGCACCTCCCTTGACCATTATGGCCCTCCCACAGATCGCCAACCATCCTGCCCTTCTTTATGTTCCACAGCCATAGTCGGCCGTCCAGACTTCCGCTCACAGCCATCGTCTCATCCGGAGATACTGCCAAACTGGTGCCCAAGCAGGCAAGGCTCCAAATGATTTTGAAATGACCCTCAATGACGCATTTCGGCGCCAAGCTCCCTGATGGACGAGTATACATGATTCTGTTAATCATCGAATAACAACGCTCGCGAAGGTGGTAAAGATGGTCGACTATTAGAATCAATAAATAAGCTGACCGTATCGTAAATATGAGCAAAAAGTTGATCCGACCATATTTTGATTTTTCTTCTCTTGCAGGTGACGATGATCTGGTTGGCTTGAAACACTCGCGACGAGAGGAAGATGATGAACACGTTTTGATCATGATCGAGTGGGAGTTGACTCCTGAGTCGTAATCCCTCGAAGTAATCAAGAGAAAAAGCCTAGTGATGAGAAATGGGTAGATGGTATGATGTGATGGAGGGAAGGAGAAAAAAGAGAAACCTAACGTGCAGGTCAATGTATCCCATTCGCGTAGGGTAGGGTTGGAAGTAGAGCCACGCAAGCGACGGGTCATATGATGTGACTATTGGTGTTCCTTGTGATGGCTCTCCAGACAGCGAATACTAAACGCAGTTGACAGAACTGACACACTTGATTGGTTTCCTTATAGCTCCCAGGCTTTGGTGTTCTACAGCTTCATCATGTCGGAATTTTTCCATCGGGAGAAAAGTACAGAAAGTACAACGAGTAGATGTGTCTGAAGTGGGTTTTGATGGGTTCAAGGGTGAGTGATCCCCCAGTTTCTCTGTGCCAGGTCTCTTGAGCAGATTAGCGCTTACTATCAATTGCGCACCCAGTCAGTTCATAGTGGTGGTATGAATTGTGGTGACAGTCGACCATTCCTTTACAACATGACAATGAGTGCTTACGTCGGACCTTCTGTGAAGTTCTGTCTCGAACACCGTTGGTTGTTATGTAAAATGATACATCGTGAGTCACGTGATGAACATCATACTACTTGGGCTAGTACTTTGTACCCGAGATTTGTTAAGCGTTCGCATCATAATCTGACTATTTATTCAGGCCCAGGTTCAATGCATCCAATAATGTCCTGAAAGATACTTTCTAGCTTTGCAATGGATGCAAGGCAACATCGAGGCCTTCGGTGGAGATGTTTGTTTCAACTCGTAGTAAGTTCCCTGACGCTCACAACCATTTTACAGTCCACTAAAGTACTTTTTGCTGACTTTTATGGCTAGATATTCGAGTCTAATTTGAAATACGGAAGTTCTCCGAGTTTTCAGTGAGTGCATCATCAAGAAAATAATGTAGCGGCTGTCTGAGTCTGACTTCAGAGTCACCAGGTGCTGCCGTTCTTGAAAACGATTTGTCATGAACAATCCTTTCTCTTCGCCCGAGTTAGCTCTCAGTACCTTTTTGAAATTCACTGTATACGTCGGCTACGCTTTCAACTCATCGATAGGTCGCATCAAGTTGTATAGCGAACACGCCGGCCGGAGACCTTCATTTGTCTTCTTATAAGCTAAGTATAGTATGGGCTATCGTTGTCAATGGGAAACACGTCCTAAACGACATTGCTAGCAGCATCATGGATGGCATATACGCGCGCATACTCATCATCTGGGCTACCAGCCAGTGTGACTCGGCACTGTTATTTCCTCCCAACCACCCGGGCCATCGTCCCAGACCCGCCTTCGTCTTCCTTGGTACCCGAGCTCCCTAACTACTTCAACGAGACGCAGATTCAGTGGATCTTGAACCAGACCCTCACGGAACCGGTTCGTCCACTGCCGCGGTATACACCTAGCTGCCGAAACGTATACAAGATCCTCTTCACCGTCACCCTTGGTGTTCGCGACAACAGAGATTGGCAATCTCTATCAATTGCTTACTGACTTTCAAGTGCCTGACGCAGGAAACCATCAAACGCTTTTGTATGCACGGACGACCTTAATCACGAGGGTGCTGCTGTTCAGTGGTAGCCATATACTGGAGATAACGAGTTTGTTCTTGGATTGACAGTGTTCAGCCCTCTCATGTAGATCAATCTGATCTCATCCGTACTCAGCTTGACTTAGAGTACGGAGCTGGCATGTACTGATATTGTATATTCACCATGAATTTTAAGTGCACTGGTCATTGATAGCGCACAAGGAATCACATGTGGGCATCAGGATGTCTAAATATTACAACTCTTACAGCTGTCGAGGCACTGCAGAAGTTGGTAAGCAAAGAGACTTTTGATGAAGGAAAAGGGTCCGCAATCAAATCCAGTAGCGATAGAGAGTAGCAACGACAAGGTATCTGAAGTGCAGAGAAGATCCAGCAAGTGCAATATGATAGAACATGAATGTCCAGTACAGAAGGGCCAAGTTGAATGAGCAACCGATGCAAACACAAAACGATAAGATAAATGAAAGAAGTGATATGGACAACTATTCGATGAAACAGTAGAGGAGCAGAGAAAACAGGACGATGAATCAGGTGACCGAGATAGAATATATGGATCCTTTTAACAATGCAAGGAACTTGAGATTGATACGTGATCAATGATGGATATCATAAATCTCTAATTATGCTGGTATCATTGAGAAAACAACGAAATCAATGAAGGCTTTGGTACAGAGGAGAAAACCTTACCAATTACGTGCTTGTCATTCAAAATGAATTGAAGTTACACCTTCAACATTTGGGCTAGTTGATTTATATCAGCTTGGTACCCGCTTACCCGCTTTTGAGATAGGAATACTGGGAGGGCCTGACCAGCTTCGCGCAAGCAGTCCACGGGAATGAGACCCCTCTCGCTATCATCCAAGAATCCGCACTGCTTCTCGATGAACGCCCAGCCATCATCGAAGACCTTCAAAACGAGGACTTGATCGCCCGGGACGACGGAGACTTCATCGTCTAGCGTAGGTGCGAATGGGCGATGGATGGTATCGAATTCGGGTTTTGCAGGATCAGCAAAAGGATTAGGAAATGTGCCAGGAATAGTTGTCAACAAACTGCTGGGTGGTGATAGCTGGTAGGAGGAAGCGGGAGCAGAGGACAGTAAATCAGAATTGAATATGGGAGGAGGAGAGTGGATCTGGACGAGAGTAGCAGCGGATGACAAAGGGGCAACGAGGTCGTGACCAACAGAAACGGACGAAGCACGCTGCGCCTGATTGAGGCCAGGGGGTGGTGGCCTTGGAAACGCGAAGGATTCTGACGGAGAAAACGGACGGACGGACATGGGACTAGATGATCCGGGAGGATTGAGATCATTTCCCACAATGAGGTACTGAGTGTCAGGGTCGCTCCCGATACTCATCATGCTATTCATGGACTCCCTACGAGAAACAGCACCGGCAGAAGGGAACAAGAGCGATGCGCGTTCGCGCACTTCCGCCATGGGAGGGAACTCGTGAGTGATGCCGAGTGCGGCGAGATCAACATTGGGGGATGACGTCGGGGAGTCAATGCGGAACATGAGTCCTTGATCAAAGTTGGTAGCAAAGCTGCTGCGAGCACTCGCCCTGTTTTGGAAAGGTTGTTCCCCACTCTGAGGGTCCCGCACACCGCCTCCTATGACAGATAAACTACCTGGCAAGGCATTTCCGCCGAACCGCCATTGTTGGCGGCGCGGAAACGGCGAGCGATGGAGGCGATGCCGCACTAGGAGCACGATGAAACCGATCAGGAATAGAAAGCATATGACATGATTCCTCCATGCGCCTGAGGACAGCTGGTGCGAAGAAGTCGCAGTAAGAGTAGGAGTTACGGTCACTCCGGGGAGCTCCGACACCACTGGAGTACTCGAGCCTCGGTGAGACACGGCGGTTGGTCACACTGCGAGATATCTTTGTATTTGCCAGTTTTGTGGTTGGTCTCGAAAATGAAGACTGAACTACGGTTCCTGGACGTTCACGGCTCCCTCCTCACGGGTTAATTAGGCTGTCTGCCAGTACCATTATTGATGAAGGAAGGTGTACCTCCCGGAGAGGGAGGGGGGCTTGGTGAGG